ATGGCACAAGAAATCAAATCAAAATATAGTAAAATTAGTATAAGATATACACAAAGAAATGTTGAGGTGATTTTCGTGAATCGAGAACGCGTCCATCCACATCTTCTGCGGACAATAGATTAGACAATAAACTACATATTCTTGATGTGGGACAAAGAAAACGAGATTGCATTGTTTGTTCTGATAGGAAAACACCTGGTGGCAGGCGTCAAACAACATATTATTGTCAAACGTGCACTAATCAGCCTGCAATGCATTTTGGAGAGTGTTTTAAAGTATATCACTCTGTACAAAATTATAAAAAATAAAATATTGATTTTTTTGCAAATATACATTTCTCGATTTCAACCAATTCATATAAGTCCAATATCATTATAATATGTTAGTTAGTTCCAAAACTATACTAAATAATACGAGGGTCTGTAAATGCACGTTTCTGCCACAAAGGAGCGCCGAGTAGCTAGTAGCCAATGTCCAGAATGGTTCGGAGTGCAAAGGGTTAAACCAAAAGAATGATTAATTTTGCAATTTAATACTCTTATAACATATTAAATATATGTTTATAATGGGGTTTATCGAAAAATATCGATAAACAATAATAATATGCATTATATTTCACGAATTTCTTAAAATTAGTAAAGTGTCCACATATTTTTAAATGGTATACCTATATATTATACGCATATTTATATATGTACCGATAGATAAAAAAAACAATACTATAATACTTATACATATGCATGTGTATTTTTAAATTTTGAAACGTATCAAAAAATTTATCAATTGCTATCATTGCTCAGAAATTGACTTTCTCGTTCTTTCATAAATTACACATATTCTTTTTCTTTTATGGAAGAAATATATTAACACGACAATTTAATATGACATAGACGCATGAAAGGAATATGTCCTTGTCATGTTATAGAATTTGGAATCTAAATTGGAATTGGATTCTTTTTTTCAAACAGAATTATTTTGATTATACGATTTAAGGAAATTCGAAAAAGGATTTGGTTAAATGGATATATAATAAATAAATAAAGAAAAAAGAAAAAAAAAAATAATTGAAAATATTATGCTCAAAATACAAACCTTCGTTATGGCTACCTACGCCTCGACCGACTTCTTCTTTTCCTTTTTCTTCTTAAGAAATGACGGCGTCCTAAGGCCCTTCTTCTTCTTTTTCTCCTTCTTCGGCGATTCCTCGCTAACGCTCACGTCCTGCGACATGGAACCCTTAACACGGAAGGTCCCAACCGTAACCATAAACCTTTCCGCATGCACATGCGCAACGTCGTCAATATGGTTTTAGGATCCCTCAGTGAATCTCATTATGATCGATTTGTTTATTTTTTTTAATTGATTATGTTAAGATTCAAAAATTTTTAATAGCTCACTTTAAGAAAGAAAAAAAAAATAAAAAGAAAATTATACTACGTATCTTTTTTATAATTTTAACAAACAATAAATATTTTTGAAGTGATGGAATTTATGGAGCCATTATTAAAATGTCGAATAAATAAAAAGAGAGAAAGAGAGAGAGAGAAAGAGTCCTTGGAGATCCTAAAACTTTCTCCTTCGATTGCATTCGAATCATGCATATTAGCACTATTGTATAGGCAATGAAATGGCGATTTCAATGAAAGAATGGAAACAAGAAAAAAAAAAAAGGAAAAAGAAAGGATATATAGAGAAAATAGAATGAAAAAGGAACGTCTATGATGAAGCTTCGAGCTTTGTAAAAACAAGCAGCTAGGGTTGCTCATGTAACTATGGCTTTCTTATATACCGCGTTCTCGAGCAGAAATTCCAATTGCATGTTTTTTTTTCTTTTCTTTTCTTTTTTGAATTATTCACACAGCTGTCTAAAGTCGTAGATGATCCTACAATAACGTCGATGCGCTTGCAAGCATTTGCAATCTATATAGTTCTTTGTCTTTTTCTTGTCATTCATGTTTTTTTTTTTTTTTTTTTTTTTTTTTTTTTTTTGAATGTAATATGCTGTATGATATATATATGACCACAGGAGCCACGATGAATATAGTAGACTGGAATGGAGCAGGCATGAAAGTAAGTATGCATTTTGAGACATTAAAAAAAAGAAGAGAAAAAAGGAGAAAAAAAAAAGAAAAAAAAAAAAAGAAACGGACGAGACAGAAACACGATGTAAATGTTATTGATTGTGAACATCATGACAATGAATGAATAAGAAAATGAATTTTTGTTATTCAAAAAGCTCTGAGAGAAAAAAAAAATTAACGAGAAGCCAAACACCATAAATGCTTCTCACACTGATCATAATTAAACATTAAACATAGACACGTGTATTAATTTTCACATTTAGAGAGAGAGAGAGAGAGAGAGAGAGAGAGAGAGAAGAAATTTAAAAAAAAAAAAAAGAAAGAAAAGAAAAAAGAAAAAAAAAAGAAAAATAAATAAAAAAAATGAATATTTAACGAACCTCCTTGCTACTTTGAGAAAATGTACTGTGATGGGCGTCCGAGTGATCGCCATTTACGGTATTTTCTCCTGAAACACAAAAGTTATTTTGTTTTAACGAACATTCATATAACTCTCGTCGATCGATTTCAAAAAGAAAAACAAGCAAAACGATCGCACAAATTAAATTATAAATATTAATTCTCGGATAATCTATAATCTTGTTTTATTTTTTAATTTTTCTTTTTTTTCTTTTTTTTTTCTTTGTATATATATATATATATAAAGATTTTTCTCTATATATATATATATTATATAAATTTGTTGTCACATTGAACATGTACTATGGAAAAATTTCTAAAATGTATAAAAGGAAATTTTTCAATTATATATCTTCGAGAATTAAGATTAATATAATAATTAACGTTAATAAAATATTAGCCATTGGATAAATAAGCGTACCGATATAACCGCAACTTACCTTGCAAATATGCAGGATAGTGTTATTGTAATTGATGTTTTTTTTAGATGATTGTGTTCATATAGCTCGTTACCATAAATTGTGTTGAGACCCTTAACCTTTTTCCCTCTCCCCCTTCCACTCTCTTTCTTTTTGTTTGAGCAGATTCACCAAGGATCGTGCAAAGGACAAGGTAGCACGTATATTTCGATCGAAGCGTTGGGATATATTATAATGTAGTACGTATAAAAAAAGAAGCAGTATAATCTCGAAACAAATTAGGGACATTAATTACCCGTATACACACCTGTGTGTGTGTGTGTGTGTGTGTGTGTGTGTGTGTGTACATTGTATATATATATATAAAATTTATTAGATATTTAAAAAAAAATATATATATATACAAATATAAATATCTGTAGTAAATTTTGAACACTATATATCTTATGCTGTTTTATTTAAAAACCAAGGAAAATTTACGTGAACTATTATATTAATCTGTTGCATTAGAGGATACCAGAATGACGCCATTATTTCAACGCAAAATCAAAATTTTCATTTCATAATATTATTACGATTAAAAACAAATTAAATGATTTTCGAGAAAAGTATGTATTATGTATTTTTTAACTGTACAATAAAATAAAAGGATTAAAAAAGAAAAAAAAAAAAAAAAGAGAAGATGTTCGGATACAAAGTGTTAACCTGTTAACCGAATAGTTAATCTCTCGCGATGAGATTTCACTTTTATCTTCGTAAAAAAAAAAAAAGAAAATACGATTTGTTTCTCATTCTAATTAAAAAAAAAAAAAAAAAAAAAAAAAAAAAATACGTATACACATGTATAACTAAATTCTTCATTTTATAACTTATTTATCCCCGTTAATTGTGTCCAATCACTAGTTTATACTATTTAATAGCTATTTAAATAATAAATGATAATCACTTTTTCCCCCATAACGAATATACTCGTTATAACAAAAAGGGGAAAAAAGAATATTTAATTTATCCGAAATTTTCTAATTTTCATATTAATTATTTTATTTCTAATGAAAATAAATTTTATGAATTCACGTTCAACGATATTATCCCTCGAAAATATTTTCCGATTAACAGGTTAAATATTTGATACTTTTTGTCATTTTCTTTTCTTTTTGCAATGTTTTTTTTTTCTTTTTTCTTTTTTTCTCTCCGGCTATCTTTGAAAATTCGAATTTAAGAAAATCTCACATGGTTTCGACGATTTACACATTCGTCGACAATAAAACGAATTAAATTGAGATATGACAAAATATCTTTCTAAGCGTGTAACAAAACTATGTGCAAAAGGACAATCGTAACGAAACATGCAAAACGTACAACAACATATTTGTCCATCTTGAATTACAAAAAATACCACAGGAATTCGCTAAAAGGGACAAGAAACGAAAAAGAAAAAAAAAAAAAAAAAGAAAAAAGAAGTACTCCTTAAGCAAAATTGCTCATCAATGTAAATGTTTTAAGACACAACATAAACGTAATTTATTATTCTTATCATAAAAACAAGGACGCATAAAGCATCTCCGTACTAACTAAATATATCTATGTACATTAATATAATTAACTTGAGATCCTTGAATTTGATATAATGAAAAAAATAATAAAAAAAGAATAATAATAAAAATAAACAAAAACAAAATAACAAGAAAAAGATAATAATTGGCACGTACATTTGTGCGATAGAAAAACATAAAAAAACATAAAAAAAAAAAAAAAAAAAAAAAAAGAAAAACGTGCTCCGTTACACATTCATGCTAAACTATCAAAAAACGAGAAAAGAAACAGAAAAAGAAACAAAAACAAAAAACAAAAAAAAAAAGAAAACGAAACGAAAAAAAGAAATATAGAAAACGTAAATAAACAAATTGATATCTTTTCTTAACTATCGAGCTTTATCTGTATCTTATCGCTCTATACGTATCAAAACTATATTTCTAATCTGTCGTTATACTTCTCGTGAAAAGAAAAGAATGTTACAACATTTTATCGATAAAAATTAGAAAGTGAAGATAAACCGTAAAAGTGAAACGTCAATTAGAAAAATGTTTGTGGTCATGCCAACAATAGAAAAAGAGAAAGAACAAAAAAAAAAAAAAAAAGAAAAAAAAGAAAATTTGAAAAATTAAACTCAAGATAATTCTCATTGCTCCGAAATGAGAGAACGATCGTCGTGGGTGGATTCGATTAAAGAATTGATACTATTCAGTTTCATTCCCGATACCAATCTATACAAAGAAGAATCCTCGTATCGTGGAAGCACGTGAGATCCATTAGTATCATTTTTATCGAAATAAAATGATGAATCTTTTTGAAAATTCTCATTTTTTGGATTAATTATTTCGTCGAGACAGGCGAGTTCTTCGACATCATTCTTCGTAGAGAAAATGATTGACTTAGAGTTTATCGGTTTAACATTTTCCGTCGTTTCAAGAAGGTCATTAGCAGATAGTACGTCTTCATCCTTAACGGACGTAAAACAATTTTTAGAATCAACATAGATTGGCGATTCTGAGGGTGACTCAAATTCGTTACAAATGATATACGTAGCATCCGAAGAAATGGATACACGATCGACCGAATCGTTGAAATTCGATGGATTTGAACATGATGATGGCCTGTCGGACGTATTGTATTCGCTACTATCGTCCTTGCAAGTATAATAATCCATCGATTTAATTGATTCCTCACCGGCACTGATGTTTATATTTTCCCTTTCAACAAATGACGTTGTCATTGTTGTTGTTGTTGTTGTTGTTGTTGTCGTTGTCGTTGTTATCTCGTTCCTGTTTTCCGATCTTTCCAATGAACAATCGATGCAACACTCGGGACAAGTATCTACAAGAATGCTGGTAATTTCCTCGTTAAACGATTCATTGCTATTCTCTTCCGTTATTGGAGATAAATCACGATATTGATGATCATTCCGAGAATCATCGAATGAAATATCATTCGAGTTTACGCTCTCATTATTGAACATCGTCGTTTTATTGTTTGTTAGGATCCATCCGTTGTTTGATCTATATTGTTTCGTACTTTTAACCTCATACGTGTTAACTGTGATATCTTCGAAGTTCTTATTGTGGTGATGATGATGATGATGATGATGGTGATGATAGTGATGATGATCGTGATCTGAAAATTTCAAATTCGTTTGACAATCGACATTAATGTTTCTTTCCTCGTTTGTAAATTCAATCTCGCTATGTTTACGTTTACGCGGCAAATTAATTGTTTCCTTGAATGAATTATTTTCTAAATCCGACTCGGATCTCTCCACTTGAAAATTTAACGTTAAAACGTCGTTCTTCGATCGATCGGTTATAGAACAAAATTCAAGAACAACTTCTTCGTTCAATGGTATCTTCTTTTTCGAATGATTTTCCGTCGTTATCAATCTAACGTTACGATTTTCGTCAATGTCTTCATCGTAAATATTTTCTATTTTATCAAGAATATTATCATCGATATCATTTTTGTTATGAGAGTCATTAACATTTTCATTTGACTTCCCTAAGGAACAACGATGTTCAAGACAAGTACACTTTATTAAAGTTTTATCGATAACCGATGAATTAGTCATTAGATCTATTGATTTTATCATCGAACATTCTTCATTATTATTGTTATTAATTGTTTCAATAACGTCGTCATTTAACTCGTGTAAAATTTTCGATCCATTAATATAATCCTGATGATCAATCCTTGTAGTCGAAAGAAAAACTTTATCTTCTTTGTCGTGTCGATCAATCACGTGATGTACAAGCTCATCGATAACGATCAAATTTGATTCCGTAGAAATCGTACTCTTCGGGGATACGTTTATGTTAAATGTAATACGAGATGCCTCTTCGATAACCTCATCCACTATATTCGTTGCCTCTACGTATGTTTGATTAACATCGAGTTCTGCTATTATTTGATTAACGCTAGTGTTCATGTCCTCGTTAAAGGATACACCGAGAAAATCTTCCAACTCCTGAATCGTACCCGTTGGCAATTCTAATATATCCGATCCATTATTAGATGATTTTTCGTTGTAATCGATGAACGAATTATCGGTAGAATCGTCCTGATGAATATTTTCCATGGATGTACATTTCGATGTAGTATTTGATTCGTTTACTCGTTTCATTGTTCCATCCGTTTGTTTATCATCATCGTTCGCTAACCTATTAACAATGTTATCAACGTCATTATTATCATAACCGACCATCATTGATACATCATTCGACGGTGTCAAACTATAGATCAAGCTCATGTTCGTCGAATCCAAATTATATTTCATCGATGCGTCCGTCACTGGTAAGGCGTTCAAGCTAGCACGAGATGGCAAAATTTTATCGTTTATACATTTTATTACATCGCCTAGATTGTCCCAATGATTACGATCGTACGTTACCACGTTGTTCTTCTTCGAAAATGATAAACAGGATACACATTGACAGTCATCATCCTCCCAGAAAAATTTATTTTCGTTAGTGTAAATTATATCCTTCCCTTTTGTATCATTCTTGCGACAAGTTAAAAAATCCGTTTGATCATCATCCATCTTACATCCAGATGAGTCTAATATTTTTTCGTTTATCAAATTCTTTAATGTTCTATCATCGGGTTTCTTTATTACTGTACCATTTTCTGTGATCTCACCATTATGATTACATACATTATAAAGTAATCCTCGAGTCACATCATTAGATCTATTATCATTGTTTCGATTGTTAATAAATTTATCAAAAAATTTTGCTCGAGTAAATTTGTTCCTTTCTTTTCCTTGAATCGCACAGCTCCCACCGTTCAGCATTCTCTTCTCGTAATTATCGAAGAACTCGCGTCTCGCTTTAATACGAGTCAAAAAATTCTTCAATAATCGCGTTTCATTGTTGTTACGAGTATCTGCGACTTGTTTACCATTGCTCTCGTCGTTAACTGTCTTAAGCGGCTTCCACGTCGCGTTCCACGAACGTTCGATCAAGATGGGTTTCATACGTTCTGCGACGACTGAACTGCGAACTACCTTTAAATGCGGATTATCATGAAGCTCGGGAGATCGCCAGCCTGAACGAACACTAGCACTGGATTCGCTGCCGCAACCGCTTGATAGAGCACAATCTGTAAAATGACATTGTCCGAAGACATACGAATCTCAGTTTCTAAAAAACAGAATTCTTTTCTTCCACGTTCAAAATCTATTTGCTCCAAGAGTAGTACGATTGTGACCTCGTTATGATCACGGATCGCTCACACCATCCTCTCAGATCATCCCTGTTTTCACTCTATAATCCCATTTAAAATAAACAATAACATTTTTGAAATACTTCTATGTTTTTGATCAACTCCGTATTATCATACGTCCCGTACTAAAAAAAAAATCATTCTCTCGCTACGGTGAAAAAAAAAATAAATAAATAAAAAAATAAGTAAATAAAAAAATAAATAAATAAAAAATAAAAATAAAAAGAAAAAAGTAAAAGCATTACAACAAGCACGACGTATAAATTATTGATTTATATACGAGTATATATATATACACACACATCATACATTTATATATATATATATAATATATAAATGTATACATATATATATATATATAAATGTATACATATATATATATATATATATATATAAATTGATAAACTTGATTTATTGCACGATCGCTAAATCATAAAATAATATAAATATATACAAATGATGAACGTTTTAGATTTAGCAAATCGTACCTTTCGACTTTAACATATATAAATGTATATTAAACTGTTATGAGAGGAAAAAAAAAAAGAAAAGAAATGTAAAACAATAATAATAATGATGCGTGCGAACATAAAATTTGTACAAGAAACTTCGACGTGTATGTATGCGGTGCAAGCGTTAGCGATCATAAAGATTCATTCTTTTAACTGTGTTAAAAGCAAAATATATTTAAATGCAAGGGGGGGAAAAATGTCTGTAAATGTTTATAATAATCGTGCGTGTATGCGTTCGTAACGTTAAAGACAAACGTGCGATCATGCGTTACCTGATACAACACACTTCCTTTCTCCTTTAACCTCACCTCTCTTAACTAAGAACCGCTTACCTTGCCTGCTAATATCACTTTCTGCTTCGATCGCAGCACGTCGCATTTCATTGAGGAACTCTGTAGTCGCATATGCTGTATGAAGAATAAACGATTACATGCATATGTCAAAATTGGAGGGGTTGGGTGGGGCAGGGGATAGGAAAAATATTCACATGCTATAGAGAATACTTTTTCTTTTTCTTTTTTGTTTGTTTTTTTTTATTCTTACTATTATTATTATTATTATTATTATTATTATTATTATTATTATTATTATTATTATTATTATTATTATTATTATTATTATTGCAAGAAATACTTATTAATTGGGAATAATCACGAAGATCCAAACGTATAATCGTACATGGTATGCAATTGAATAATAAACATGCGACAATTCCAAAAAATTCTAATACCATTAGATACTACTTTGCATTTCATGTCATAAATTCTAAACAGCCAAACCATTCTTGCATGGTATACAACGATTAATTCTTTGTGAATTTTTAAATTATTTAAAATACACTTACCGTCACTTAAAACGACTTCTGGTTGACTGGGCGCAGGCACTTGTTTCGTTTCTATCCGTAAAACTCGTGGTTCTGTGGATATAAGAATAACGCTATTATTAAATGTTCTTCTCTCCTAAATTTTCAATCGTCAAATGAGCTGCCTTTTGAATTTTTTTTTAAATTTAAATGTCAAAACATTTGATGGAGTATTCACTTTTTATATTCATAATAAATTTCCCCAATTTCCATTATTCAACATCATTAAATGACAAATCTTTTTTTTGGCCATCGAATTAAAAATAATTTATTCCAAAAGCCTATCTTATTAGCTCCTTCTTACTCTAATGTAAATCATTGCAATAATTCAATTCTAATGCTGCAACCAAGGCCTTTATACATTTTATAATGTTCATTTGAATTTATATTTTAAAAAGCAATTTATATTATTTCCTCGCTTTTTGTTGTATAGAGTTAATCGATTTGGCAAGTAAGCGGCTCAGAATAGCCTATAAACATGGGTTTTGTTTTTACATGGAGGATATATAGTGGGCAGAAAAAAAAATGAGAAAAAAGTCATGTAAAAATAGATTTACAAAAAGTATAATATAATGGCAAAAAGAAAAAAAAAGAAAAAAAAAACTTGTGTTCAACGCAAGTAATAGAATAACAATTTAAAATATAAAAATGTATTCGTTAAAAACATTTCATTTAATTTATCAAGTGTTGAAGGTAACAAAAAAAAAAAGAAAAAAGAAAGAAAATAAATAACTACGATTTTTTTTGACATCTTCTGCTGAACTGACAATGTATGAATAGAAATGTATTTAAAAAATCGTGTTTAAAAAAAAAAAATAAATAAAATATCACGTAAAAAAAAGATCCAAATTTATAATTTTTTTTTTTATAATAATTATAAAAATTTTTTTATAATATTAATTATAATAAAATTTATAATTAATATTTTTTATAATAATATAATAATAAATAATGTAATTTGTTTTATAATAAAATTTTTTTTATAAATTTAATTTATAATTTCTCTTACCGTCCCTACTCTCTTCCTCGGTCTCAGACGTAACAGAGACCGGTGATTGAATCGGACTCTTGGCAGTGCTAGATTCATGTGTTGCACGACTGATGTTAAATGATGACAATGCCTCCGATTCCGATTGTGATTCGTCATCTAATTACAAAATATTCGTTATAGATTATTTTTTTTCACCGTTGTAAAATGAAAATATTTTTATAATAAATATTCAATGCTTACAAGGATCACCCTTCTGCTTGCGCTCTACTTCCTTTTTATATTGATCTAATTCCTGATCCGTAATGGCGTCAAATGGATTCTTTGCATAAGGTGTCTTGTAAACCATTGCATTATGTTGAAAACCTCTTTGTATGATACCCTTACTGGCTGCTCCTACGAGAACGACTTGCTCTCCAGTACCACTGATCGTAGCGTCCTTGAAAATAATTAAGAGATTAATATAGAAATTATTGATAAATAGATAATAAACTAGTATATATATAGTAATAATAATAATAATTATAATAATAATAATAATAATAATAATAATAATAATAATAATAATAATAACTATAATAATAATAATAATAATAATAATAATAATATATAAATACATATATTATATACGTACATACATATACATATATCTATATATTAATATTTATATATTAATACCTTGGAAATTTAAATAAATAATTTGCTATTTAGAATTTTTGATGAAATTATAAATATGTTTAGAAATAATAATATATCAAGATGTTTTCTCAAAAAAATACTTTAAGTAGAAAAAATCTATTAATTAATTTTTTTTATTCTTACCTACATCATTATCTTATTCCTTATCAATGATATATATTAGCCAAGTATAAAAATAAATGTTAAAATTTCTACCTGCATTTTTTTCGCTTCTTCCCACGTAACACCTTCCAATATGTGCGACTGTGGTCCAGCCGAAATTTTATCTGCTCTACGATAGTCTTTTATCTAATAAAAGGAAAAAAATTCATGCGTCCTTTCATTATATCAATGTAATATCTTTGAATAATTTATAAACTCAAATATATAAAAGTACAAATATATAATTTGAAAAAAGATATTATGTCTTACTGTTATTAGAATTATCTCATAAAATAGTATAAATATATATATTTACTTACCTGCTGTTGGATTTGTTTGAATTCTTTCGGATTAGTGTTTTTAGGTACAAACTGGAGAGCACCATCGATCTTCACCGGAGTACTGCTATGGGTCGGAGATCCATCGGACACCCACTGCACACAAAACCAGAGCATTAGAGAGTTGACCCCCTTTCATATATTTTACCAATATAATTTTCTTTTTTCTTTTATTTTTTTTTTTTTTTTTTTTTTTACCAATGAATGATACATACGGTTGCGCAGTAAAAAATAAAGTACTGCATGTAATGTGTGCCTGCATTGCATATTTTTTTCTTTAAACTATATAACAAACATTACTTTCTCTTTGGACGCTCATTTTTTTTAATATTTTCGAATAAGAAATAAATAATAAAAAGAAGAAAAAAAAATAAATAAATAAATCAATTAATTTTAAATAACGTGTAATTTGTTCAGTATATAACTTTTTGATATTAAAGTATCGTTATCAAATGCCAACTGTATTAAACATTTGAAGGGTCATTTTACCTGGTTTTGTAAATGCAGTGGATGTATACCGAGGTCATGGAGAATTCGTTGACACGACCGACCAACAGGCACACATTCATACAGGTTTCAATCTGACGAACTCTATTATTTTCTACAGAACATACATGATGTATCACAGAAGGAAAAAAAAAAAAAAAAAAAAAAAAGAAAAAAAAAGAAAGAGAGAAAGAAATTAATGCATACTAATATAACGTGCAAATGACACAAAAAATGACTACCCGTCTATTTTGATAAATTTTGATGAATATAGATCATCAATCTGCAATTGTACATCACACCCGTGCACGCATCATTCTTTAATTTTGACTAATTTATATATGTATATGTTTCGAACAATTAAAATATTGTTGAGACATGTTAGACAACGGATTAAACTTTATTCGATCATGAATAAGCTACAGAAGACAAAATGACGCACAATCCTACATATATATGTATATGTATATGTATATGTATATTATATATACACTTACATATGTTTATAATCATTTAAGTATTATGTACTTCACATCTATCCAGCATTCACTGATAAGAATATTTACTTTGTGCTCCCTTTCTATATCGGATATACTGAACTACTTCTTTGTAACGAAGTATACACAAGTTACATATATAATTTTAATAAATATTATAATTTTCATCGCACATATTGTAAAAACGTGATTCGATAATGTAGTAGAACCTATGTAAAAAGTAAAAAAATTGTTATAAATGAAATTGTTACAAATTTGAACTTGAACTAGCTAGTTGGATAAATTATTAATTATTTGAGTTATTTTAAATTCTAGAAATAAATGTATTATATTCTGCAACATATTAATTCGATGTATGTCATTATAAACAATAAAATAGACGATGGTGCATCATTCTACAACATGACAATGTCTTCTGAAGTTATCTAAATATTATATATGCAAGGGATTGATCAATTTCATTTGATCTCCCATGTATAACGATATAAAATTTCACAAGATACATCCATTAACATATATTTAATATGGGATACGATATTTGTTTTATATATTAATCCATTAACTGCTTAGAATAATTTTCATTTTGCTTTTATATAACTGTATAAAGCATAAAAGGACTATGCGATATATAAGATGGATATTATAATATATGAAAAAGCTAAGCTAAAAAGATTAAATGCATCATCGTTTTAATGAGATGATGCATAAATGGAATGCATAAGTATATTTTGAAAAGAATAATAAATTTTGAAATCTACTTCTTCTTTCGTCAAATTCAATGCATGTAGTAATATGTATTCGAAATACATTTTAAGTTTGATGGTTGACATTATTATTAAGACAATAAATTCGTACGATATCCATAGTAACATAGATCGTACAAATTTAATATGACTTCATAAACGAAGAAGAAGAGTATCGTTGATGTGAATTATTTTATAACTATTTTAGGAATATTTGGCGAGTATTATATTCCCTACGTACCATCCGCAATGTATTTAAAAATTCGCGGATACAATTATATATATATATAACATGTACGATCTTTACAAAGATCTGTGAACACAAATTTTCATTGAACGATCGGAATGACGACTTTTTTAGCTGCGTTGAATTCATTTCTTATATATGCATATATATTATTTATATATATATATATGCGCGTATGGCATTTAAATGATATATTGATTTAATTTATAAATGTTTACTCGTTTTTATTCTCAAAAGTAATAACTTCTACCTTTGTAATCTTCTTCGGATCAGGAGTACCAGTTTCCAATATCTCCACCTTTTGATAAACATTCGGTGAATTTAACCAACGTGACCTATCTGTACCTTTACGACCACCTTTCCAAAGCCTATACAATAAATAAAAATGAATATTTATTATTTTAAGAAAATAGTACAAATCATCTAAACGTTGTACTCATAATGATAATTTTAAATAGTATCGAGTATTTACCCCTGCTTATACAATTCTTCCTCTTCGAGCAAATATCCCAAAGATGAAACTGCTGGTGGTACCTCCACATCGTTTCGTGGTTTTGGAGGATCTCCTTTTACAAGTGGATTTCTATATATATAACCTGTACGAAAACCCTACGAAAGAAGGAAAAAGAAAAAGAAGGAACAAGAAAAAGAAACACAGATTTAAATATTTTCTTTACAAATGAAACTAAACGATGGGTAATATAAATGAATAAATATTTACAGCATTATCGAGCATCCTCATAAGTGCTTCAAATTCTGTTCCACCTATTCTCCAACGTTTTTCTAATTTCTCCGTTATTATTGTAGATTCTGGTGCCGAAGTATGTTGAGGAATTGGAGGCTTCCTTGATGCTTCGAAAATTGTTTTCTTCGATTCTTCCGAAATGAGATTTAAATTGTCTAGACCGGCTGGCATAAGTTTCAACTGCGTTTCACAGGCCAATACAGTGTTGTATACATTGTAAAAAGCTTCTTCGACAGTTTCACCACAACAAAGTGCACCACGATTGGTTAAAAGCATTACTTTGTTAATAGGACCAAGATTTCTAGTAATTTTCTCTCTTTCTTCCGGATCAAGCATTCCGCCGACATAATGATGCGTGCTAACTTCACCAATAACTATACTTTCTTGTCCGATTGGCAGTAAACCACATTTTAAAGAAGAAATCTGTAAAATATCACAAGGATAGAATTTGATAAAAGGGAAAATTTGAAAGAACAATTAAGAATAAAAATAATATAACGAGGAAAAGAAAAAGAAGAAACAAAATAGTAATAAAATAGTCGAAATAATTATATCGACAAAATAAATATGTTCTTTCTTGATTACTTACAGCGGTAACGGACGGAGTAGATATATGAACGATGCATTTGATGTCAGGTCGAGCAGCATGTATCGTAGAATGTAATTGAAATCCGGTAATGTGTATACCAAAATTTGTTGTTCCTTGTTCCACTACGGAACCTTGCATGTCGACCTTAATCAAACTAGAAGCCGTTATTTCATGATAGAGCAATCCATAAGGATTAATCAAAAAATGTTCTTGATCCTGATTCAAGCGTGCCGTCATTTGACCACCCACATTTTGCGTCCATCCATATAAATCGAGTAATCTGAATACAGCGGCGAGTTTACAACGCAACAGTTTTTCACCTTTGGCATAGCCCATGCTTTCGACACCGCGAATATCATTTATAGGCACCACGCAATTCGAATCTAAAATTTATAAATAATCACGTAACTTAACTTAATATAAAGAAGAAAAAAAAAAAGAAAAAGAGGAAAAAATAAAAAAGAAAACTATAAATTTATATAGTAGCTGACGTTCAACATTAGTCACTTACTTTTAAATACATTTCCATTGAAACGTGCTCCTTGAGCACCCATCATATCAGAGATCTGTTGTAATAAACCGGATGGTCCAGCGCCGTCTTTCATTTGCGTCTCAATTATACGTTCCAATTCTTCCCTGAATAATCGCGAATTCATCATCATTTCGACTCTCTTTCTTCTCTCCATTTCTCTCATATCCTACAGATAATTGAAAAATTACGCGTAAAAAGATTATCGATCGCAATTGTTTGCACGTTGAAATATTTCTTCCAGTTATTCCCTATCTCTTACAGATAAAAAAAAAAAAAAGAAAGAAAGAAAGAAAAGGAAAAAGAGAAAACAAAGAAGAAACAACAAAAGATAATGCGTTAAACATTACTCACAGCATCAATGTCCGCGGGCCTTATTTTGCTTTTTTCTTCTTCCGTAAGCCCGTCCATTGCCCCGTTTGTATGAGGTTCCGAAAGTTCCTGCTGACTCGTATCCGCCATTTTTTGTTCTGTTTTTTTACTCGACGCTACGACCTGGTGAAAGTAAAAATTAAATAATAATAATAATAATAATAATAATAATAATAATAATAATAATAATAATAATAATAATAATAATAATAAGAATAAGAATAAGAATAAGAATAAAAAAAGTGACGAAAAGAACGATGAAGAATTAGAAATTTAGAAAATTGAAATTAGAAATCAAATTTGAAGTTTATAATTTCGTTCAGAAACGAACATGATGATACCTCATTTTTACATAAAAAAAAAATATTATATATATTTTTATATGTATATATATCATAATAATATATATATAAAATAAACAAACGATATAATACGAAGCACTGTTGATTATATGTATCAACGAGGATTATTGCGTTACGACTACCGGAATTAGATCACGTTCTACTATTCATCGAACTATAAATAATTTGTAATTCGAAGAGATCATGCTAATGGCTAAACGTTTTTAATCCTTACTCGATTCTTGTGTTGCTCAAGGAAAAAGAAAAAAAAAAAAAAAAAAAAAGAAAAAAAAGGAAAGAAAAATAGAAAAAAAAAAAAAAAAAAGCATAATCGGGAAGTAAAGAAAGACAAACGATGCGAACGTTCGTTCGCTTTCAAATAGAATAATTTGTTTTTCTTTTTTCTCTCTTTTTATCTTTGAAATTACGCGCGAATTTCGTAGATATATAACTCTACACATCATAGATTAACATAACTAACACGTAATTCATAACGTGAAACATGGATAAATCTTTTACTTCTCGTGTCTGTTGCAAGAACGTAGCAATGCGACGAATAGTTATGTATGTATATATAAATATATATATATATATATGTGTGTGTGTGTATATATATGTCGTGCCTAATTACAGAGATGCGTCATTTCCGGTTTAACGCGCATAACGAGTGGGCACGATAAAAGATCTCTTATTCGACTTAGATTTTCCCCCCTTTATTTGAAATTATTTTAATGGTGATTGTTTCGTATGTTTTTCTTTTTTCTTTTCTTTCCATTTTCTTTTTTTTTTTTTGTTCTTCGCATCAGATCACGTAATGTTAACATAATAATGACGTTACACGTTAAATGGCTTTGACCTATCGTAATGACGATGAACGCAAATATAAACTGTCATGAACTGTTGTATAATTATAAATATCACACATAGTTTTACATATATTATATATATATATATATGTGTGTGTGTGGGTGGGTGGGTATATATATAAAAAAAAAAGAAAAAGCACGTATGGACACACCATAGTACATACATTGTAGAGAGAGAGAGAGAGAGAGAGAGAGAGAGAGAGAGAGAGAGAGAGAGAGAGAGAGAGAGAGAGAGAGAGAGAGAGAGAGAGAGAGAGAGACAGACAGAGAGAGAGAGAAAGAGAGCGTCGTCCTTTCCGCTTCTCTCTTTTTTCTTTTTTATTTCTTTTCTCTTTTTTCGTAACATTTGATAATTAACATCGTCCGTGACCTAAGTACACCCATAGAATCATTTAATTAAACAGACAGAAACCATCGTCGTTCAAGCGTACGTATTGTACGATACGTATGTGCGAACGTGACACGCCCAGAGTTCCAATGACGATCGTTGTAGGACGCTCCGTTAGACTCGAAACACATCTTAAATATATGTATTTTCGTCGGTAGAAAATATATATATATATACTCTTCATACATATGCATATATATATATATATATATATATATATATATATAGCTTTCTTCATATCTATATATCTATATATCTATATATATATAATATATATAATATGTTATATAGTCGAGAATTTATTTTGGATTCTAACCATTGTCGTCCTTGAAAATCCCATTTAAATGGTGATGAAAGAAAAAGAAAGAGAAAGAGAGAGAGAGAGAGAAAGAGAGGGAGAGAACAGTTAAGCAGTGAAATAACTATCTCAGTAATATGGAAAATAAGTGGTCTAAATTAAAACACCTACACCTTGATATATATATATATCCCACTCTCATCGCCTCTAAGAACATTTTTTTGTCACGAATCTATTTACTAATGCAATTCCCGCATTCAATATTATTTATGGTCATTCCTTCTGACAGACGAGAAACATAACAGGACACGATAGAGATCGTCTATTGTTTTTCTTTTCGTGGACGAAATACGAATGTAGAAATGTACGTACGTAAGTACGTGCGCTACAAATCTCTATACGAATTTGATCAATTATAATGTACTAAAATTAAAATTATCTTACTGTCATAATCTCACATTATGATATTTTCATGCATGCATGCGTACGTTCGTGCACACACGCGCGCGCGCACGCCCGTGTGTATATGTCGTATCACTAATACAGTCGATGACGACACGTCTCGTGTTCCTGTATATTGGATATGCGGCTTTACACGCATGACGTGGCCTCTCAATGATTGCAACGAGCCAATAACTGATTCTGCTACACACACACACACACACGCACAAACACAAACAAACACACACACACGTACCCACGTACGTATATATATATATATATATATCGTGTGTGTAACGCTAAATCGACATTTATAAAGGCACGATCTTTCACATGTGACATTAGTTTCTTAGCTTTCTCCGATATATTTGATTTCGCAAAAAAAAAAATAAAAAAAAAAAAAAAAAGGAGAGTCAGACAGAGACTGAGTGAGTAAGTTATGTGTGTATGCGTGTGTGTGTGTGAGAGAGAGAGAGAGAGAGAGAGAGAGAGAGAGAGAGAAAGAGAGAGAATGGATATCGGACAATGACCGAGATTATACTCCAACTTTCAAAACAATATTTAACGTCACTATATTTCTTACCGTCGATATTATAATCGCAAAGAGATTTTCAAACAAGCTGTACAACGACACGACGACGACGTACGACGACGACGATGATGACGACGACGACGACGACGATGAATAGAATCGAATCACTGCCCGGTAGATATAATGCAATTCGATCTTATCGTCGTCTATCGGCATTAACACTCCACGATATTTCTCGAAAGATAGCCGAGAATTTATATTTTAATTACGATAACACTTAAGAAATTTGGAACACTGCTTGTTAAAAATTTAACATAAAAATAATATATAAATGAAAATGTAAAGGTATAAATTTGATCGTTCGTTACAATTAAATTATTATTATTATTATTATTATTATTATTATTATTATTATTATTATTATTATTATTTTTTTAATTTTATTTTTATTATTATATATATATAATATATATATTTAATTTAAAATATGATAGAAATATAAATGAAAGATTTATAAGCTTGGTTAAAGATGCGTTATCTTATTTTCTCTATAGCGTCCTACATACTATTTCTCTGGAGGGGAAGGTGAGGAGAGGTGGGGAGAGAAAAAGGAAGGTAGGTAGGAGAGTGGGAGGGAGGGAGAACGCTGAAAGTAAACTAAAGTGTGCTTGATCGCACGTAAAAGAAAAAATAAATGAAAAAATAAACGAAAAAAAAAAGGAGAGAAAATAAGAAAGAGAAAATAAAAGAAAAGGAAAGAAACCAAGACAAAAAAATAATTATAATAAGAATAATAACAAAAAAAAAACCAATACTACTAATACTACTACTACTACACTACTACTACTACTACTACTACTAATAATAATAATAATAATAATAATAATACAAACATGATCGAACCATCCGGTTCAGATCATTGAAACTAAATAATTTATTTACGAGTGAAAATAAAATTTTCGAATAGCGTGAAATATAAATACATATTAAAAGCGAGTAGTTTTCATTTACGGATGCTGGAAAGATTGAACGCGATCAAGGAAGAGAAGAGAAGAAAAGAGAAGAGAAGAGAAGAGAAGAGAAGAGAAGAGAAGAGAAGAGAAGAGAAGAGAAGAGAAAAGGAGGGGGAAGAACTACTTAAATGAGTGTGCGTACGGTGGGTGGGTGGTGGTGGTGGTGCTAGTGCTGGTGGTGGTGGCCGATGGCGATGATGTAGGAAGAGGGGAAAAGAGAGAGAGAGAGAGAGAGAGAGAGAGAGAGAGAGAGAGAGAGAGAGAGAGAGAGAGAGAGAGAGAGAGAGAGAGAGAGAGAGAGGGGTTGATGAGACGCGTCTAAACCCGATATGCCCTTCGTGTAATGGTAGGAAAACGGATAAAGCGTGGAAAAAGAGGAGATAAAAAAAAAGAAAAAAAAAAAGAAGACTCCCCAAAAAGGGAGTAAAATGAATGAAAGAGAGAAAAGAGCAGAAAAAGAAAAAGAAAAACAACGAATACACAGTATCGCTTTCAACCGTTAAAAGGAATAAGAGACAAGCGTACCCGTTGTTTAAAAGACGTACGATCTGTTTTCTCTACTTGTTCTTACTCTTTTTCGGGGTACGATACCTCGAATAGATTTAGCCATTGATCGATCGACCGAACGAGGATAGAAGAAATACGATATCGAAAGAGAGAGAGAGAGAGAGAGAGAGAGAGAGAGAGAGAGAGAGAGAGAGAGAGAGAGAGAGAGAGAGAAAGAGAGAAAGAGATAGTAAAGAACAAATTGTGGTATTAAACGCAAACGAAGAGGAGAAAAAGGAGGAGGAAGGTAGGGGGAGAGGGATGGAAGTGGGTACGAACACCACTGATGATGTTGATCGGTACTGAACCGGATTTGACATGACACACCCCTCGCTCGTCACACTACGTAATTTCTCGTAAAACACTAGTCGAAGAAGGAAACACCGTAAGCCGTTAAAACTCTTCGATTGTGTATGTCAGCGGGTCGTAACGTCGAGTAGTAGTAATAATAATAGTAGCAGCAGTAGTAGTAGTAGCAGTAGTAGTAGTAGTAGTAGTAGTAATAATAGTAGAGTAGTAATGTAGTAGTAATAATAGTAGAGTAGTAATGTAGTAGTAATAATAGTAGTAGTAGTAGTAGTAGTAGTAGTAGTAGTAGTAGTAGTAGTAGTAGTAGTAGTAGTAGTAGTAGTAGTAGTAGCAGCAGCAGTAGTAGCAGAATATTTAAAAAAAAAAGAAAAACGCAAGAAGAATAGAAATGCCTATATATACGTTTAGCTTACCTATTAAATAAAAAATATTGTTCCAGGTCGTAGGAGTATTACAATATCCAAATTCTGCCGGTAGCCGGAGTTCGTCGATAACGTTTAGCTCTTTAAACGTGCCTTTTTAGCTGGAAAACCGCCTTAGGAAAGAGAGAGAGAGAGAGAGAAAGATAAAGAGAGAGAGAAAGATATAGAGATAGATAGAGAGAGAGAAAGAGAGAGAGAGAGAGAAAGGAAAAAAGAACCGAAGGAACGAGAAAAACGAGAATGAACGAAAACGTTCGGGGTCCCTTCCGTTCGGCGGATAGCTTCCCCGTCGGCGATACTCTTCGTAAGCGATCAACTAACAGTAGCCAAGCCCTTCTTTACTTTCCTTTTCCCTCTTCCTCGCTTTCCTCCGCCCGTCCGATTGTCCGCCGTTCGACCGGCCGTTCTTCCGTTCTTCCGCCGTCGTCGTCGTCGTCGTCGTCGTCGTCGTAGTAGTCGTAATAGTAGTCGTCGTAGTAGTCGTCGTAGTAGTAGTCGTCGTCGTAATCGTAGTTGTTGTCGTTGTCGTAGCAGTCAACGTAGTCGTCTTAGTTGTCGTTCCTTCTTCTTCTTCTTATTATTATTATTATTCTTATTCTTCTTTATCTTCTTTACTGCTTTCTTCCGCTTTCTTTCCTTTTCTTTCCACCGTAAACGAATCCCCCCTTGATATTTGACTTAAACGGTAACGTAACGGCACCCGGCAACGCGTAATTCTACGTGGAGGAATCGCGATCCCCAGATACACCCTTTTTTTTCTTCCTTTCTTTCTTCCTTTCTTTCTTTCTTTTTTTTTCTTTTTTCTCTCTCTCTCTCTCTCTCTCTCTCTCTCACTCTCTCTCTTTTCTCTCTCTCTCTCTCCTCTCTCTCTCTCTGTCTCTTTTACACGCAGATCCTCAATAGATCCACGAAAAATCGCATAACTGGAGCCCCCGTTTCCACTGCACGATAGCGTTGGATAATAGCACAAGAATCGATCGCGCTCTCTCTCTTCTCCTCGCACTCATTCCCCTTGATCATGGGTTAAAAGCAACCAACACACAACACGCGTCTTTATGACTTTCGTTTCCTCCTCTCGCCGCCGATGTGCGCGCGCTTGTTCTCTCTCTCTTTCTCTCTTTCTCTCTCTCTCTCTCTCTCTCTCTCTCTATCTATCTATCTATCTAGCTTTGTGTGGCGCTGCTTTGCGGCGTTTCTGTCCAAAAATAGGTTCAGTAATATCGCGTTCATCTCATTGGACAATTGCTATTTGGTCCACCATACAAACCTAACCTACGACGATATCTGATTCGTCAATTGATAAAGAATCGCACGTTGAGTGGTTCCTTTGCTCATCCAATCGTAGAGAATCCTTTCGTATCCTCACACAAAATTCATGACCATTGGACGATAACTTCGTTCGTAATTTTAACCTGGAGATTACTTTTGTGATATTAATTGCGTAAGTACGTAAATTTTAGTAAGTTACAAATGATCATATTGAAATATCTTTAGATTACTTATATAGTTTCAAGTGCAATGTTTACGTTATTTTTCGTTTCTATGAAACAATGAATTTTTTTACCCATACATTTCAATGATAACAATTGAAAAAAAATAGTGGAACAAAAATAAAGGTGTATAACATATATATATATATTATATTTACATATATATATATTGTATATATATAATATATATATAAAATCGAAACTTAATTATTGTAGAAAAATATAATTTTTATAAAAAATCGTTATAGTAATCATTATTATAAATGCATCGATTATTTTTTATTCCCGACGTACGTGTATATATATATATATATATTTTTTTTTTTACAGTTTATATTACGTTGGTATTTATTTAATGTTATACGACTTTTAATTTTATTTAACTTTATTTATTAAAAAAGTTGAACTTTTTGCAATCTTTTTTTCGTGCCATTTTTTGTATTTAAAATTTAAATTATTTCATTCCACAGATATATAAAATCTTTTAAGATAAACGAAAATATTAACTTTTCATTTAATTATTCAGAATAATTATTCATTATAAACAACATTATTTTCTCATGAATAATATTTTGCACATCTTTTTCTTCTATACAAGTTATCTATCCGCAATACAAACACTATAAAAAACAAGATTAATTATTAATACATTAAATATGATATAATATAATGAATAATTAATACATTGTTAATTAATGAAAAAATTGTAATTAAATATGATACAGTGTCATTTCAATCAATGTATGTCATATAATATTTATTTATTTATTTTTTTTTTATTCTTTTTTTTTTTTTAAATCGATATTTTTAGGAAGTACATATATTTTCCGACGTTGCCAAACGTAGATCAGTGCAACGGAAAACGTGTATACGTTCCCAATTACGAATACTAGACATTTATATTCAAGAATACCGTGTCAGAAACTTATGCGTCTTTAACGCGTAAGCTGCGTCAGGCAACGTTATCACGGCATATTTAACTTTATTTTATTTTCTACAGTGTATACATATATATATATATATACACACATAGATAATAGAAGTGAATTATTCATAATATTTATGAAAATATTATTTATAAATGAATTTTAATATCAAATTTATTATTAATTGCCACGAAATAAATAAGTTTTTGTTGATTATATCATCAAATTTTTAATCGAGTATAAATATATTCTGTTACTGACATTTTATGGATGATTTCGTTTATTCGCGCCGAACTATGACGTCAGAAGACAACCTTCCAATCTGATTGGCTATCCGTAAGTACCCGTAACAGTAAAATTCCAACATCTTGAATTTTTCGATCGTTGATGTTACTTTACTTCGGTTGCTTTTACGACAGCCGAATCGAGCAACGCGATTGGTCGAAACCTTACTGTTATTATTACGGAAAGTTTGCTTGTTGTATATGTATGCGTGCCTGCATGACTAACCTAACATTATTTTCAATTGTTTCAAAGAAAAATCTTTTAAATGTAACGTTAATATCTTATCGTTAGAATATACGTGTGTATATATGTATACATATATATATATATATATATATATGTGTAATAAAAAAAACGATCACATTTAGTTTCTTTATCGCTTTGACTTTTATTGTTCTGAAAATACAAATATTTTATTACGATAAAGGAATTGATAATAGGTCATGAAACGAATGAAAACGAGTGAAGTAATACTAATAAAATCCATTTAATCAATTTTATTTTTGCTTTCGTAATAATTACGTTCCCCTCCAAAAAAAAAAAGAAAAAGAAAAAAAATTAAGTAATGTTAACGTAATCGATTATCATATAACACACGTAAATGGAGTGATAAAAAAGGAAAAAGAAAAATAGGAAAAAAGAAAATGTAAATTTTATATCCAAACAGGTAATCCATCTTCAGACGATAAGACAGAAACCCGATGGATTTGAAACCGGTTTATTTCGTCACTTATGGGAGAAAAAGAATAAGAAAAAGAGAGAGAGAGAGACAGAAACTATTACATTTATAAATAGAAATTATATAATTGAAAACTAAATGTCTTATCAAGGTCCAACATTTCGTTTAATAATAATAAATTCATATATTGTTTACGACCTGTTTGGATGAAATAAATAATAATAATAATAATAATAATAATAATAATAATAATAATAATGGCGACGAGGATGACGATGCCGTGACAAAAACGTTGCCGTGAGCACTGGCACGGTAATGGCGAGGGGTGTCGGTGGGGAGTCTCTTTTAATCATGCAGAGCCAGGGCCAATGATTCATACCCAGTCGCATTACATTTGCTTTAACGTTTACGTTGGTCACGCCGTGTTCGTCGCGAAACCTCGTGATTACGGATAATATCCATTCTATTTATTTATTTATTTATTTATTTATTTATTCATTCTTTTTATTTAATTTTTTTTTCCTTTTTTTCTTATATCGTACATTTAGAAAGAACATCCTTATAACAGCCAACAACTGCTATAACTACAACTACAACTGTAACAAGAACAACTATAACAACAACAACAACAACAACAACAACAGCAACAATAATAATAACAACAATTACAACAATTGACAACGTCATATGTGTTTAACCCAATCGAATAATGTACTGCGTGCGATCGTTACGTACTGCACAACGTATACGGCAATGTACCTTCTCACGAGCGAACATCTGATCGTGCGTCGCGTATTCGGTTACATATGCATGCATGTATGTATGTATGTATGTATGTATGTATGTATGTATGTATGTATGATGATGTATGTATGTGATATAAGTATGTATGTATGTATATACCTATCTATCCTACGTAAGTACGTATATATGTATGTAATGTATGACGTATAATGAGATCGTTCAAAGATTTATTCTTCTCTTTTTTTTTGTTTTTTTTTTCTTTTCTTTCTTTCTTTCTTTCTTTCTTTTTTCTCTTCTTTTTTTTTCATTTTCTGCACGTTTATCATGTTGACGTCGAGCTTTAGTAACGATAAGAGGAAAGAGTAACGGTAGCGAGACGACGCGTCGTTAACGATGACGACGTCGCCGTCGTCGTGTCGTCGTCGTTGTCGACGATGACGACAACGTTGTCAGTTTCGACGTCAATATTGTAACTAATATATTGAAATGAGAATAGAATATGTCGGTGATGGTTTTAGTATAGTATAAGCTATAGAAAATTAATAATCAGTGTTTAATATATCATTGTTAATTCGATAAATACGTAGATAAACAAATTGTTTGTTTCACGGGATGACTCGCGATACTTCTTGTTAATTTGTTATTTAGATACTTTTGTTAAACGGTCGAAGAGTTTCGTATTCGTTCACTGTGTATATATATATATATATATATATATATGTATATATATACATATATACATATATATGTATACAACAGTCGGAAGAATTTTTAAAAACGATTTCTCGTACAATACGAATGGTTCAATTTTATTTCATTCCGGGATTTTATATCATCTACGACAATATTATTCGACATTCGCTGTTTTGATTGAATCGTTCGATCGATGTAAGTATATATCGCCATTAACGATAGCGGAACGGAATGTTATGTCCTTGATTTGATTAGAATTTAGAAAGCCTTTTATTTTGTTTATACGTATTTAGATCTAAAAGGTATTATATATTACTCGTGAATTTCTTCTGTTATAATAATAAATAATAAAAGAATCGTAGTTTAATCGTAGATATTAATCGCAATTATTTTCTCATGTATAATCTGTTAAGTTAATTTATATACTAATCGTAAATAAACAATTTATTTTGTATTTATGGCACAGAACGCTTAATTTCAAGTATGCACAATTAATGATATAATAAATATGTGAAAAAAAAAAATATCTGCATGATGTTCTCGATAATCACTTGGGCTGGCTTAAAAATATCTGCACATATATTATCTTTTCTCATCAAAAGAGATATGTCAAAGTTTTTTTAAATTGATAAATATATATGTACACATACACGTACACACACACACATACATACATACATACATAAATACACATATGTGTAATATTATAATATGTATATGTTACGTATGTATGTGTATGTGTATGTATATGTATATGTATATGTATATGTATATATATATATAAATATATGTATATATCTTTGTTCCTTTCTCTGTGTCCTTACATACAGTGAAATCAACGGTGCAAAACTGGTTACTATTTCGGCTCTCGAAAACATCAAAATGCCATTATATTCGAGATCGAACAATTGTGCCTCGAAGCTAGTGATCGTTCTACAGTTCACAGCTTGGATCTCAGTTGGCATAGTTCTTCTTCAAAAAGGCGTAACCTCCTTGCGAAGTCAGTCCACAATAGAAACAAAAGACGATACACAGGTACATCATTTATATATATATATATAAGTACATACACATATATATATATATATGTATGTAATAGCGATGATATAAAGAATATCTATATATGTATTTTTCACGAAGAAATTGAAAATACGACGAAATATAATATACGGAAAATTTGCGTTTTAATATCGGTTTAATGTCGCAATGTCGGTCGAAAAAAATATCTACGGTATGAATCGAGATTAGATTCCTATATGAAACTTTTATGAAACCTCGTACGTAAGTACGCATTATATTTATAAGTAATTGTATTAATATCGTGCAATATTGTATAACGTCGTTCGTTCGTTCATTCATTCATTCATTCATTCATTCATTTATTCATTCATTCATTTGCACGTGTAAAATACATAAATTAATTTTTTTTTAAAACATCAAAAGTAAAATTTCAAATATAATTTCTATAATGGATATTATTTCAATGTAACAATTATACATTATATCGTGATTTCAAATTTTCTCTTAGGAAAGAAATGATGCGACGATCAGATACTTAAATGATAAAACAAAGAGAACGGCGGATAAAGATGATATTTTTAATGATATTACGAAATATAAAAAAGATTTAACCGTCAATTTAAAATTATATCAGGAAAAGGAAAACGATATGTCGGAAAGACATTGGAACCGACGTTCGAGTGCGACGAATGAACGTAATCACTTTGAAAATAATATTATTGAAGATATTAATGATAGGCATTCAATAACAAAGAAATTGAACGAACTCAAGGAAGAGAAGAAAAAAGAAGAAGAAGAAGAAGAAGAAGAAGAAGAAGAAAAAGATAAAGAAGAAAGAGAAAGAAAGAAGAACGATTTGATTAACTCAAGTGAAACGAGCACGCAACGTGACGTCTATGATTCGTCATATCAGTCGAATAAAACCGAAGATTACGATAATACCGTCCTCGATCCTGGTAAAACTTTAAGTTCAACTGCAACGACTAATTGGGGAAAGGAAAAAAAAATACGTAGTCGTGCGAATGCCGGCGGTGCTGCGGCCGCCATTGCTATGGTCGCTGTTGGTGCAGCTATGCTCGTAGTTGGACCTATGGTCATTGTTTTACGTGCTCTTGATAAAAGACGACAAGAAAGAAGATATTTAAAATCATTGAGGTGGGACGATCAACCGCCTACTTACGAGCAAGCGACATTAATGAATGAAGTTCCGAGATATTCAACTTTAAGTTTAAATACCGTCCATAATTCCCGCGGTCCTTCCACATCCTCTTCGCGGCCTACCGCAACTTCCTTCGAAAGATCTCCTTAGGTTAATTTATTTTTATATTTTATTGATGCATACGCGTGATTATTTTGTTGGCGTACGAATTCAGATCTTTTTGTTTTCTTTTTTTTTTTTTATTATGTTTTTCCTTATTTGTTTTTTTCTTTCTTTCTCTTTTTTTTTTTTCTTTTTTTTTATTATTATTATTTTTCTCTTCTTTTCGTTAATTATCGATATATTCTTTTGTATATTATTAATCTTTAAGTAAATTAGATTTCTTAGAGATTTTTTTATAGAGCGTAAAATAAAATTCGTTGAAATTGATTGCGCACGTCGATAATGAGTTTTCGAAATAATCGTAGGTTTTTTTAATCGTACTTTAATAATAATTGACTGCCAGACAGTATAAATGATAATTAAAGGGTGTATATATATATAATATTAGTTTTAATATAAATTTAATTATTGTATAGTGGAAAAGAGATAAAATACATATAGATGTATATATATATATATATATATATATATATATATATATATATATATATATGTCTTTTTTAAAATTCAGATTAAAAAATGATCGATAGAGATTAATGAAGTTAAGAAGTCTGAGTGCTTATCTTCATTTGTTTCTTATCAATGCAATATATTTTTATAATCAATTGTGAATTATGATAAAAAAATTTATAATAGCAGTTTTTTTTTTTTTTTTTTTTTAAATTTTTCTCAACTTTTTTTTTCTTTTTACATAGCTACGTATGGATTATAATGTTTCATAAAAGCAATTTAAATATGTATTGAAAAAAAAGAAAATTGAAACAAATACAAAAAATAAATTTATCTAAATTAACCCATTCGAATCTCTCGATCGATTATTTTGGTTTTTTAATAATTTATTTATACGTTATTTAAATGGTGAATATAGATTCTAATCGAAAAAAGTATGCGGAAATTATACAGCTCTATTACCAATATTGGTAAAATTATAGAGCTCTATTACCAATCTTTTGAAATTTTCTAAAGTATATCACGTTATCATTTGAGAATCGTTTTTAAAAATTTTTTTTTATAAATTTCGCACGCGTCTTCATAATTCTGTTAATAGATTATCGCATATTGTTATTTTATCTTTGCAAAGGATTGAGTCATTTATTTAATCAAATATTTGAAAAATACATTTTTATGTCGGCACAGAAAACACATTTTTATGTCGACATAGAAAACACATTTTTATATCGTTGGTACTGATAGCAAATAGCAGCAACAGCAGTAATAATAGTGTGTAGTAGTAGTAGTAGTGTGTAGCAGTGTAGTAGTAGTAGTAGTGTAGTGTAGTAGAGTAGTGTAGTAGTAGTTACGTGTACCAACGTAACATTAAGGAAGCGTTCTGTCTGTAACGGTTTCGGCTAAACAAAATTTAAGATAATTGATATTTATTATATTTTAGTTGAATAATAAGTAATAAGAAAAAAAAAATTAGGATATTTTCTATAAAAAATTGTATTTTTTACTAACAAGGAAAGATGTTTAAAAAGTACGTATATATCAGTACATAACCTTACTCGCATGTTCGTGAACATATACGTTTATTTTTATTTGTAATTACGAATAGATTCGATGAAAAGGATAGTGTTTCGGGTATACAGCAATTAAAATCTTCCGTTCAGAAAGGAATACGTTCGAAACTCTTGGATTTATATCCACATTTAGAAAGTCATGTGGATACTATCATTCCAAAGAAAGATGCATTTAGAATTGTTAAGTGGTAAGATTTTTCATAAATATATATTATTTCATAAATTTGTATATTGATAAATATAAATTAACAAAGGTACAATGTTTCGATCATAGTCATGATCACATAGAAATTATAGTCAACGCAGCAGGAGAACTTTTGTTCTTTCGACAACGTGAAGGCCCATGGATGCCTACATTAAGGTTATTACACAAATGTAAGATAATTTAACATTATTAGAACATTTATATCATCATTATAGACATTCAAAAGATAAGTATTTTGTTAAATGTTTATTGTAAAATTTTTCATCTTTTAAGATCCGTTCTTTCTACCAATGGAACAAGTCGATAAAGGAGCAATCAGATTTGTACTTAGCGGTGCAAATATTATGTGTCCTGGTTTAACGTCAAAGGGTGCAAGAATGACGCCAGTAGAGAAGGGAACCGTTGTTGTATCCTTATATATATATAAGATAATATAGATTATTTAATAGTAAATCTTTTAAAAAGAAAAATTGATAATTTGAATGGCACATTTTTTGTTTCTTTTTGAGTCAAAGTAGCATGAATTTTTTGTTTTTTTATAATCTTGATGTTCCGTATAATGTTATAAATTTGATAGTTTTATCCATAAAATATTATGTATAAACTTAACAAGCAACTAGGCAGTTATGGCAGAAGGAAAGCAGCATGCTTTAGCAGTGGGAGTAACTACTCTATCAACAGAAGATATGTAAGTAGTGATCTGGTTCTGCATTGTTACTTTGAATTAAGCATTTATACCTTTTCCATCATGTTTATATCGACATGGTTATATTATGTATTAAATTATGTATTAGATTATTAAATTATAAAGTAGGGTATATATTAAAATATGATTTACAGTGCCAAAGTGAATAAAGGAGTAGGAATCGAGAATTGTCATTATTTGAATGATGGATTATGGCAAATGAAGCCTGTGAAGTAAGAGAAAAATATTGTAATAAGCATTCAAATTGTATATCAATAAGATTTACATATTATATGAATAAACTCGTTGTTTTTAAATATAATCTTGTATTGTAGACCGTCATAGCAATTTACAATAGATGATTAAAAGATTACATATTTTTATTATACAAATTATATAATCTATTATGTTTATTTTTATGTTATGTTTACTTAAATGTGCCATTTTTTTATAATGAAAGCATGATAATGGATAAAGAAATGAAAGAAATAAAAAAAGAGAAAAAAAAGAGGAAAATATGCTTTACACAGAGCCTGATTTCATATCAGTAGAAGACTCCTGACTGTCAGGAGCAGTAGTACGTTCATTTTCACAATGCCCTGATGCTGGAGAATAGGATGAATTATTACTATCAGGAGTAGAACCAGAAGTAGTACCTGAACCAGATACACTGTTATTAGCTGCATTACTTTCTCCTACGGTATGAGGGGATTGTGGATGATAATGCGGACTGTGTGGACTATGAGGACTGTGCGTATGAGGACGGCTCATAGTATGTGGTGAATATTGAGAATATGGTTGATGATAATAGGGGTGAGCATATTGTGGATAAGGTTGATGATATGGTTGCTGTTGTGAATAAGTATAAGAAGGATGTGGAGGTCTTGGGGCAAGTGGGACATTTTGTGGCTGTGGACCAGGTCCTGGTTGATATTGTTGGCCATATCCTTGATTAGGTGGTATTATGGGCGATGTGTGTGGATTAGTTACTGGTCCTTGAGGAGGAAGAACCTGCGTTCCTTGGGTTCCTTGAGATGTTTGATGCGGCGACATAGTATGATTAGATAGCATTCCTTGCTGATGAGGATTGTGTAATGGAGGTGCAGGTGAAGATACTGGAGGCATATTTGGTATGTTTTGAGTTGCGCTTACTGTCACTGGTACAGTAGCGTTAGTAGTACTAGATTGCTGTTGCTGTGAAGATGTTGGAGGTGCTGTTTGCTGATGTGATTGTTGTTGATGAGATTGAGATGGTGATTGTTGATGAGATTGAGGTGGAGGGGGATGAGGTTGCGGCGACGGTTGTGGATGGGATTGAGGTGGTAGTTGGTGAGACTGAGGTGGTGGTTGATGAGATGGAGGGGGTGGCTGCTGATGAGATTGAGATGGTGGTTGTTGATGTGGCTGAGGTGGTGGCGGCTGATGAGTTTGAGGTGATGGTTGCGGATGGAACTGTGGTGGTGGTTGTGGATGGGACTGAGGTGGTGGTTGTGGATGGGACTGAGGTGGTGGTGGTTGTTGATGAGTTTGGGGTGGTGGTTGTTGATGAGATTGAGGCGGTGGTTGTTGCTGTGGCTGTGAAGGTGGTTGCTGATGAGGTTGAGGTGTTGGTTGTTGATGAGTTTGAGGAGGTGGTGGTGGTTGATGAGTTTGAGATGGTGGTTGTGGATGAGACTGAGGTGGTGGTGGCTGTTGATGAGTTTGGGATGGTGGTTGTGGATGGGGCTGAGGTGGTGGTGGTTGATGAGTTTGAGGTGGTGGTTGTGGATGGGACTGAGGTGGTGGTTGTGGATGGGGCTGAGGTGGTGGTTGTGGATGGGGCTGAGGTGGTGGTGGTTGATGAGTTTGAGGTGGAGGTTGTGGATGAGTTTGAGATGGAGGATGTTGATGAGATTGAGGTGGTGGTTGCTGTTGTGGCTGCGAAGGTGGTTGTTGATGAGATTGAGGTGTTGCTTGCGGATGAGTTTGAGAGGTTGGTTGTTGATGGGTTTGAGGTGGTGGTTGTTGATGAGTTTGAGGTGTTGACTGTTGATGCGACTGTGGTGGTGATTGTTGATGAGACTGAGCAGGTTGTTGGTGTTGTTGTTGTTGTTGCTGCTGCTGCTGCTGCTGTTGCTGCTGCTGTTGATGATGCTGTTGTTGTTGATGCAGTTGATGTTGATGTTGTTGTTGATGCTGTTGTTGATGATGTTGCTGTGCCTGCTGTTGATGGTGTTGCTGTGGCTGCTGTTGTGTTGGTACCAGCGATATTGATGGTGGCAAAGGTGCTGATTGTTGCTGCTGCTGCTGTTGGTGTTGTTGCTGTTGTTGTGGTATCAATGATATTGACGGTGGTGGCGTTGGTTGTTGCTGCTGTTGTTGTTGTGGTGATTGTTGTTGAATTGGAGTAACAGATACACAATACATACTAGAATTAGATCCATGTTGATTCATCGACTGATTTCCTTGTACAGTAGGAGATTCTGATTTTGTCTCAACGTATGGAGGCGATGAGTTTTCTTTTTTTATTTCATTATTAGATTTTTCAAAACCATTGGTCTTTTTATCGATTGTATCATTTTCGGTAGCCTATAAAATATATACATAAAAAATTTAACGTATTATTGCTAAAATATAGGAAACATTAAAACTAACCTCAGACGGTGGTTCATCATTAAGAGAAGCTGGAGTTGGAGTAGGAGTAGAATTTGGTGTAGATTCATTTGATGCAGGACCATCAGATCGATTTTCTTCCGATCCTCTTAATCTTTCTCTTCTAAGTACTTCGTATTGTCGTTCTACCATTTTATTAAATGTTTCTTCATCTACTGCTGGTTTACAATGCTGTAATAAATGTTTTTATTAAAGTTGGTTTAAATCAGTGGTGTCCGACCCGCGGCCCAGTAATGCAAGTAATGTGGCCCAGCAAAAATTTCCTGTGGTAGCTTCAATCGGTGATTGCCCATTGTGGCGACCGAAATATAATCGCTTTATGCACAAAAAACAAAGAAACATCGATAGCAGCAGAAGTCAAGTGAACGTGAATGACGCCACAAGGCGACATTTTATACATACTTTATACGTGAAAGCATACCGTATGTTTTGTTGAGAAGATAGAGTGACTAAAAAACAAAACAAAACAAAAAAAAAAAGGAAATTTTGTACTATTATATATATTTACTATATTTCATTTTTTATTTTTTTATATACGGCCCAAGTAAATTAAAAAATTTCACTTAATACGGCCCAGACAACCAAAAAGGTTGGACACCACTAGTCTAAATATTTCATATATATCAGCTTATATTTATCAATTAATATAAAAATTAACATTTACTTTTTTCAATTCTTCTTGAAATATTTCACTTGTTTCAATAAATTTTCTTTTCTTTGCTTCAAATTTTTCTTCTATTTGTTGCAATTCTGCTTCCAGTTTTTTCTGAAATTATTTATTTTTATAAGCAAAGTATTGTTCATAAAAAAAAATAGTAATTACATTTTTATTTATTACCTGATGCATAGTTAAAGATTGTACTTGACGGCGTAGGACTTGCATTCTTTGAGTCGTAACAACAGAACGGACATCAGGAACAACAGTATCACTGAAGATTTCATTAATAAGGCGATGATTTCTTGTATAGCGAGAATATGCCACATGTTTTACAGAATATCCATCATCTTGATCTGAAAATTATAAGAATATCTCTTATAAATTTTTATCACATTAATATATATCAAACATACCATCGTCATCTTCCGCAGGTAAAATATCAATCCTTCTATCTTGTGCCGCTTGACTTTTACTACTACCAGAAGAACGTTCATGACTTTCTCGATCATCATTATTTTGTTGAGCAGCACATAACGCTGTATTACATATAAGATAAAATTATAAATTTTGTCATCAAATTGAATACCAATTATATGTATTTTAATCACATATGTATAACCAACCTGACTTTCCTCTGTTCTTAGCAGCAATGTAAGCCAAATATGCTGGAGAATTATGATAAGTCTTTAAGCTTTTTTCATATTCTACCTAAATTATAAAATTTAGAAATTATATATATATGTGTATATATATATACATATATATACACATATTATGAAATATATACAATATAATATACATGATATAAAAACATAAAACATACTTTTTCAGCTTCGTATTCCTCTATAAATTCTGTTTTATCTTCTTCTGGCAAATCTCTCCACATTTGACCTATAATTTTACCTATTTCCCAAAGTTTTAATTCAGGATTTTGAGCTTTTACTTGATCCCATACTTTCCTGCTATATCTCATATACGGCATAAGAGGTTTTTCAGGTGGTTTGGGCGGTTTTGGCATTCGTGAATCTGCCTATTTATCCATAATACAAATGTATTATTTTCTCAATACTTATTACTTTATAAAATCTATAATATCTACTTACATTTGTATTTTTTCCTACTTTTTGAGGCGTGAATCCTGGATGACTATGAGGAGTTTGTATAAAAGGACTTTGCGTATCCTTCTAAATTAACATAAAAATTTCATTAGAACTCTTATCAAATGAAAATAATGAAACATATACTCAATACTTACACTGGTATTCGAACTACTGCTACTTCCACCAGATGCTCTGATACGCTCTAAATAGAAGAATATATTTCATTTTAGATTGATTCACGTAGAATAGACAAAGTGTGATAATTTATTAAATAAAATAAGTATAAAATATTTTAATTATACTTACGATTGGACGCAACAACATTTGACGTAGCCATTGCTACTTGCTTATAATTCGGTGGCAATGCCATTTTGTATTAAAAAAAGGAAAAAATTAAAGTAGTTTGTACTTCAGATAAATTGGATTATATAAAGAAGAACAATATCTTCCCCATTCGAAAATGCAACGTAATTACGTTTTCCTTTTTTCTTTTATTTTTTCAATCCAATTTCAATACGCCACGTAACACGGTAAATCGAAATTACTGATGATCATTCCTTGAAAAGATGTAATCGAATCATCCTTCTTAGAACTCCTAAAATTTGTTGAATAAATCGATGAAATTATATTTCACTATGGTAAGGACTTATTACAATTTATGATATAATACAATAGTCTTTAAAAAAAACATATAGAACGAAAAGTTAATACATACATAGAACATTTCGGCGTCTCTAAGCTAAATCAAAGAACCCTTCAATAAGGTGGAAGCATCCATCATCAAAGAATCATTCCACTTTTTTACTTTAGTTAGAGCAGTATTAACCAGAGGCGCCGCGATCGTTTCTCTCTGTCCCTTTCTCTCTCTTACTCGTATGTACGTATATATATATAGATATATATCATATCCATAGATTAAAAGTGTTAAATGTCCAAAAATCCTCCAATCGTGTACAACTATTGCATTCATGGTACGCGATAATTGGTTATTTGATTTGGATTAAGAAAATTTTATCTAACGTAATTGATATATTTTGATGAATTCCTATAATAGATCATTTTAATTTCAATTAGGTTGTTTTTATTATGATATGACATTGTAAAAAATTTTTCAAATAAAATGTGTTGTAACTATTATAAAATATTTTAGAAGGAACAGATATACACGAAGATTTGTGTCCATCTTGGTGTTGTCATTTCTATGGTCACAAATGAAAAAGAGGGTTACGACGATAATAAAATGGTAAATACGATGCGGTGTTAAGATCAGTTAAGATTGTTGGCGAAACTTTGTGGATTTAATTAATGTCATTATTTATTTTGTACACACTCCGTAAAGGAAGAAAGTATTTATGTAATATTAATTGAAACGCGACGAGAAAGAGAGAGAAAGAGAGAGAGAGAGAGGGGAGAGAGAGAGAGAGAGAGAGAGAGAGAGAGAGAGATTAGTATTAAAGTTACTCGATCATAGGAATTTCTACATTTTAGAAACAGGCAAGATCCAGTTACATATTGTCAACCACATAAAGAATTTTTATCATGATTTTTATGTAAATTTATGTTTTTAAAATTGTCGAAACTACGTTCACTAGCGTAATTAATGATGAACTTTGCAAATTGTTGCAACAAACGCACTCGTGCATGGCTTTATATTATGTTTTACATTTAATCTTATAATTCCTACAGTAATTTATTATATAAATATTTTCCTTTTATTTTGTAAATTCAACTTCCAATCAATAATACAATTTGAAACATTATATAGATTTTGAAATATCTTAAAATATTTTTTGTAGTCAACAATCAATCAATCAATCAATCATTGCCTAATTATTATGTTTGATGAATAGTTTATTCAATAAAATCAGCATTATATATATATATGTATATATATATATATATATATATATATGTGTGTATATATATATATATATATATATATATGTATATATATATCTTCATAATGGCATCTTTTATAACAAAAAATCATATGTAAAAGCAAGACTTATATAACATATTATGTGTATTCTGCTTTTATTTAACATCATTTTAAATCATTTAATATCAAATATTTTTTATTTGACATTGCACAAAAGATTTTAAGACAGAGTGCTTTCTTTTATGGAGCAATTTGACATTTGAATGTTCTAAGTTTTTGATAGAAAATATAATAAAACTAAAATTTTTATTAGTTTTATATTCAAGTTAGTAGTAATAGTTATTTCAATTTCAATATAAAGATGTAAATTTACTTTCTATCGTGGAATAATAATATAATAGTGTAATAACAGAATAACAAAGATTTTCCACTTTACAGTCTATAAAAGAATAAGTCGTGGTAAAAGAATAGCAGTCTGTGCAAAACATGCATGCATGTGTATTGAAGAGTTTAAAAAATTTCAAAAAGCATACATGTCAACACATGTGCGTATTCATATATATATATAATTTTTTTAATTTATCGATATTTATTATACTTTATAATCATACTTTAAGTAAATTTAAATTTATATACATCCAATTGTATAATTATATCATTGAAACATTTGAATATTATTTTATTTGTTAAAGCTTAGGAAGTAACTATGGAGGAGAAAGATAGTACCGATATATTGGGAGATGAAGAATCTGAAGAGACGGAAAATATAATAATAAATGAAGTTGATGGATTACCTAATTTGCATCCAAATTATGAACAATTGGAACTTGATTTTGAAGGAGAAAAGGGTCATGGTTGTTTGAATTCAAGGTCAATAGATGAATTGATTCATGATGAAGATTTACCAACATCTGTTATTGTCACAAATGTAGATCCTGGAGTGTTTAAAGTAGATGAATTAAAGGTAATAATATTATTTTTATCAGAATTGATTTGCATATATGCAATGGATTTTACAATATATATTAATGTATATAACTTTCATATATCTTTTTGCAGTCTGCAATAGAGAATCTTTTTAAACAATTTGGAGAAGATGCTACATTCCAATACTTCAAATCATTTAGAAGGATGAGAGTTAACTATAATTCTCCAAATGCAGCAGCCAATGCTAGAATACAATTACATCAAACTCATTTTGGTGAAACTGATATTAATTGTTATTTTGCACAACCAGTGACACCGATAGGTACGTAACAGAAATATAAAAGAGATCAATAAATTTTATATACCTGTATTTACATGTAAACAGAAAAAATTATTCTTTTCTTACAATTAGTATCAATTATTATTAATTAATAAGATTTATTATTGAACAGATATGGAAGATCAACACCTTCAACCACCAGCTCTTACAAAGCAGTTCCTAATATCTCCTCCATCGTCTCCACCTGTTGGTTGGAAGCCACGAGAGGAGAATGAACCTTTAGTCAACCATGATTTATTAGCAGCTATAGCAAACTTATCTGCAGGTATTTATATTTTCTTCATTAATTATTGCGTTTAATAAAATTTATTAGTAAACTATAAGAGAAAGAGAGAGAGAGAGAGAGAGAGAGAGGGAAGGGGGAAGGGGAGAGAGAGAAAGATATGCTTTTACTATTTAAGAAATTATTGATAATATTATTTATGTTATTAATATGTCAGGTGGTAGTCATGAGTTACACCCGGGAGGTTCTGGACAACCAGGCATTGTTGTTCATGTTTGTGAAACTGAGAATCCTATGAAAAGTGGCCCACGTATTCAACATACACGTTGTCCAGAACATTAATGAAATTTTTTTGGAAACACATTATACATAATACACGTCCAATAAATCATTTATCCATCCAAGAAGTAACTATAATAAAAAATATCGTACAAAACTGGCAATGAACGTAATTATAATTTATAGTCAGTATATTGCAGTCTCGTTCTTTTTTCTTTTCTTTTTTTAATTTTTGCCATGATAGTTAAATATTAAAGTGTCATTAATCGATGAACATGAAAATTCTTATAAAATGTAGGTATTGAATATATAATATTAAAGTTCCAATCAAAATTAAGTACGTGAAACTATTGTTATATCAATGTAAAAATTCAAAAACACTATAAATGTTATTATAATCACTGTTTAAATGTAGTCTAGAAGTTCTAGACTTATATCAGTTTGAAATATCTGTTTTGATTAAATATTTTGATTAATTTTTAGACTATTAAATGCTAATTCGGGCTAAATCAATATATGAAAATGAAAAATGTACAGTTTAAGAATTTTTAAAAATAGTGAAGTATCTTTAGCAATGAAGAAGTTACATATTATAAAAAATGTTGGTAAACATTGATGTTTTGTGAAACAAAAATTCTAGCTAAAAAAGATTGGATATTAAATCTTTAACTTCAAATAATAATTGTATTCTCTGCTGTGTCATAAAAATTACTCTTTATCGCGTACTCTTAAAGCTTCTACATTATACAGTATTAGACAATATGATAATACTGATAAGTATAACAGAAAACTGAGTAATGCTGCATTGATGACTTAAATTGTTCTTAAAATTATCGATGTTCCTTGTATTTTAAAGTATTGCTCATTGTTTTACTTTAATGTTGTGAAAAGCAAATGTTATAATAGCTAGAAGTCTACGATAATTAATAAAAAAATGAAAATGTCAATCTGATCGTAATCTTTACGTTCAGTAGATTCTTTGAGAACATGTTATTCTAATGTAAGTTGTGTTTGTGTGTGGAAGTTAAGGTTCAAATTGTAGTTATGATATTAACATATGATGTACATATACACGTGTGCGTGCGTGCGTGTTATTTTATGAATGCGATAAAAGAAATATAAACGATCTTGGATCATTTTGTTTTCTCTATTTGAATGTTAAATTTCTTCGAGTATCGATTTTTATGTTTTGATCAATTAAATTTTTTAAAGATTCTTTATAATGACTTGTTAAATGTCATAAGAACAAACTATTATTAAATGGAATCAAATTAATAAGAATTAAATATACACATGCAATTTGAATATCAGTATTACTGTAACATTATTATGACAGTAGTTTTGTGTGTGTGCATATGTATATACTCTATTCCGACTATATGAAATATACACGGGTAAATTGTTTTAATGTTTTACCTAGTAGTATTTTCATCACGGCAGTTACAAAACAGAGCAAACAATTGTTTTAAGTATGTAAATATAAATACATAAGATATATGCGCATGCACATATCTACAGTGTACATGAATACGTATGATACAATAATAAATATCTTTTATATGTGTATACAGCACATAATTTTCGTGATAATACGTATGTCAGAAATCTAATATAACTGGTTTGCGTATTGAAAAATAATTCATTTAGTTTGTCATAACTATGACATACTAAATATATTTTTATTTTATAAATTTTAAGTATTGATAGTTAATTAAGAACAATGTGCATTTTATTTGAAATTATTTTACAATTAACTAGACTTACATAATAGTATAATGAATAATCAATTTTAAGATTATCCAATGAAAACATTTTTTCATTCGCTATAGAACCATAAACCTCGATACTCTTGTAAATACCTATGTATATATATATAATGTATTTATTTTCCGATATGTTACTGTGGTACAAAAAATTTATTAAACTATTTTTTCTGTTTTTTCAAAAGTTCATTATCACATCACATTGTGGAAAAAAACGTAATGAATAATAATAATTATATCAACCAAAAATATGTAATTATGTAAATATTTTGAAATTAGATAAAATAAAGATAATATTGCATATATCACATTGTTTTATCTTTTGTAATAAAAAATATAAATATTTTATCATATCATTACCAAAAATAAAAGATGCTATTTAAAATTAAACTTAATAATTTTTAAATAGATAGGTTTGTGAAATAATTATTGTCATTATTTCATAGAAGTCGTATATTCTTACATTTTTTATTAGCTTATTCAAATAATATAAAAGCTTTATACAGGATATTGTTATTTATGTTTACTTAAGTATTTCATGATTTATAAGTTCACAGGGAATAATTTAAGTGATACATTTATACAAAAGATTATAGGCCATTTATTACCTATTTTCAAAATATTTAAAATTCATTTCTAGAAAAGCGATATTGAAATTGTCAAAATTATTTGGAAGATAAAATCAAGTTGCAAGTTGATTATATGGGATAAACTAGCAAAATGTAAAAATTAATATCTTTCGATTAGCCTGATTTTATTTCAATATTTATTAATAATAGATTTCATTATGAATAATAATTTATTATAAGGAAGTAAAAACTTTATACACGTTATTTGTGTAACATATTTCAAAGTTTACATAAGAAGTCTAACAAATTATACATATTCATACTTGCTCATAGTATGTTGCTATTAAGATACTTTGTAGATCTTTCTTATATGCTTTACCCCTGTTTCTTCGAATACATGTCCATTGGAGTGATATGACTTCTTATATTATTTGTAATTCCACATAAGGTTACTAACCGTCCAATTCTTTTCTTTTTGGAGTTCACAAAGAATGTCATATATCTTTGTATCTTTTACTATTCTCAAGTATACATCTTTGCACGAGGAAAACTCAATTTTTATAAAAATATAATATTAATAATAGAAGTTTGAACAATTTTATATGGATATATATTTCGGTGTTACGCCATATACACAAATGTATTAATATCGTCATCGTGTCTACGAATATATTTGTGCTCAATAAGCCATTCAATTTGTTCTTTTATCATCTTTTTACTTGGTAAAAACATATTTTTTAATATATCTACTAATTCAGTTTGTAATTGAACATTACTAATTTTCTTTCTTATTTTTAAAATCTTGATGATAGCTTCCTATTTGTACAACATAAGTAATATACATATATATACATATATACACATATATATACATATATATACATATATACATAATATTATTAACATAACGATCAGAAAAATAATTGTATATATGTATAAATAATTAAAATACCTGAACTCGTAATATTCTCAGTTGTACGATTGATTGATTATCCTCTTCTTTACTTCTTTCCGTAGATAATTGTAATCGACCTATTAGATTTATCTTTCCTCTTTTTTGTAATTTTCCATTTTTTCTGCAAAATAAATAAAATCTATCATATATGCAGAAATTAAAAAATATTGAGAAAAATTAATATACCACAAAGGAATAACTTAAAAAAATATATAATACTTTTATATATATATATATAAAAGTGATATAATAATTTATTATATACTAACACTATGGCAAACTCTTGATTCACCCAAAATCTTGTATCGTTCCCAAAATCTTTTGGACTATATGCATGTGGTTCTACTAAAAGAAGTTGACGTTTTAATTTTGGAAAAGCACATAATGACCATAGCGTTCGTCGTAACTCTGGATCAGGAAGTTCTGTAGCAAGACGAAGATTCTCATAAGAAATTTTTTCAAAAGGCCGTTGATTCCAAGCAAATAAAACAGCCATTTGAAATGTTGTGACGTCCACATCGAAGCGACCCACTTGGTTGGAAAATGTTATCTGGAACACCATCCAAATTGGTTGCAAGATGATGCTGAAAATTAGAATCGGGATATTGTACTTTGTGAAAAATTACAAAATACCCCTCTTTGTTACTAAATAAATAAAATTTTTCTTGTATTATATAAGTTACATATATATATATAAGTTATATATATATAAGTTACATATGTATATATATTAATATATACATAAGTTTTTTATATATATATATATATATTAATATATTTAAATAATTAATAGATATAATTAAATTAGTGCTTATTGATCTATGAATATTACATTATTAAAAAGGAATAAAATTTATTGAACAAAGTGATTTTTTGATTTTATTATATAAATACTTTTATTTAAAAGTAAATTAATTAAAAGTAAATTAATTAAAAATGTTTATACTTTAATCCACAACGAATTTGATTTAATAGATTGTTAAAAATATACGGAAATGTGAAGCAATTACGTTTATAAAACTAATTATAATTTTTTATGGATGATATATAATATACAGATATTTATATTTTCTGTTCATATTATTATTGGAAAAGCTCACGTATATATTCTTACCGTGCCATTTGACATATGATGATACCATTGTAACTTTCGTCCACTGTGCTTTTTTTTGTAAAATTCTTCAACTTCTGGTATATAATCTTCAAGTTGTAAAGGTAAACTTACAGTAACCCTTTCACTACCTCTTGCCCAGGCACCTGCGTTTAATATCTATATACAAAAATTTGTGTATTATGATTTTATTTGTAAGATCTGTAGCGGTCTGTTAAAAAAGATGTTACATCTCAAATATAACAATGAATACTATCACCTTTATATTTATGCTATCTGCGATGGCAGCACGACATTGTTCTTTAAACTGTTGATTAAGATCTTGAGATACTTTAATATCTTGAAACATTCTGGCTAATTTATTGACATAATCAGCAGGCATACCAACTTCTCTAAGCCATTCTACCATATTTTCTTCCTTTTCAGAATCTGCTGATGTATCTAATATAAGCCTTCTTGTTAAATGTGCCTTATGATAACGCATGAAAACATCTTTATTTTGTACGTATTTTAAAACAAGTAACTGAAATGAAATATTAAATAAATTATTTATTAATAAGATTTATTTTAATAAGAAATAAGAATGAAATTTGCACTTTGTACCGACCACATCTCTTAATTTGCTTTCTATTTCATCTGAAGTTAATTTCTTACTTAATGGAGTTTTTCTAAGAAGCATATCACAGTAATTAGCTAACAATTCTGGACATTTTGATTCTGGTTGTCCATTGTTATTATTATTAGGTTTATTGTTTACAATTGTTGTACCGATGCCAGAAGCTTGGCGAGCAGGTAATTCGAGTCTAAAAACTGTAGCATCGTTAACAACGAGCTTGTAAGCTTTATCTCGTGCAGTAAGGAAACGTGGGTCATCATCAAATGCTTCTTTCACTAAAGTGGAAAATCGTCTAAATAGATCTAATAATCTTTCTACATATTTTTCCGAGTCTTGAGTAATAAAATCTACTGCTGCCATCATATCTGCTAATCCTGCACTTGCTATATGTTCTTCAAGATTTCTTAACATAGGACCAACCCCTTCTGATACTCTATCCATTAGTTTTAACATTAATCGAAGTTCTGTAATCATAGATCAAAAGTAACAAAAATATTTTGATACTGGTTAAAATATAAAATCTAGATAAAATATAATATTTCAACTATTTAAAAGTACAAACGGAGACTTACCGTCCGTTTGATGATGTTGTATCATTCTTGGACATTCCGCAAGTATAACTGATTTAAAAGTTGCTACTAAAACTCTTACACAACAATCAGTTAAAAGTTGTACACTTGCACTATTTGGTTCTAAATATTTTTGTGCACGTAGTTCTTCTTCCCTTAATTTAGATTCTGCATAGCGCATGTAATTTTCTACTCCATGTAATGACAATTGTTCTGGCGCTTTAACCCAATAAAATGCTTCTGTTGCTTCTATATAGGCAGCTTCAAAATTTTCTCTATAGATCTGTAGTTTATCGGCTGTATTTGAACACAGATTTACTAAAAGCAAACGATATTAAAATATTACGTTACAATTTTAATTATTATATTAAAAAAAAAAAAAAAAAAAAATATAATAATAATATATACTATTAACATTATTTATAAAAATAATACAAGAAAATATAATCAGAGTAGGATAATATTTATCTATTTATACCATAAGATTCTCTAACACCAATAACTAATTGGGAATCAAATGCTTCCCCATTTCTTTCAGCACGTACTAATCTCATAGCCGAATCTTGGAGTCTCTGTTTTATTTCACCAAATATACTTTGATTCCAACTATCTAACATCAGCTATATTGAAAACATGATATGGTTAAATTATTTCATTTAAATATACGATTAGAAAATAATCATATATTTATATATAAATATTATATATAGATATGATAAAAAATCATACTTTCCTGACGAGATCATCAGACTGATTTCTCTTCGGTACACTAGAACTAATTTTTCCAGCAAGATATGTTTCTAATAGCCCAAATGGGGTAGGTAAATAATTGCACTGTGCAAAAAACTTTCTCCATTCAGCTATATATGCCTTTAATAATGCTTGTTCCTCTTGATGCGCTAATACTCTCTATATAAAGTGCAATGTATATATCTTGAAATTATTATAATTTGGAAAAATATATTTTAACATCATCTTAAAATATGATGTTATATATGATAAATAGAATGAAAAGATATTATAATTTTGTTGCTTAAAATAATGATATTCTTACTTGTTGAGCTTGCTTTATAAAATCCATTATATTTTCTTTAAGAAGATTGCGTAACTTTGTAGATCCCTTTTCATCCCACATACATACCAAGTGAATAGAGTAAAATAAATCTTGCCATTCTGCATGTGTTACTGGTTCTTGGTTAAGAAGTTTCAATATTATAGGGTGCATGTATGGCCATTTATCTTCAAATGTAAATTCATCTTTATTCTGAAAAATACATCTATAATTACTAGATTGTATTATTTATTACTCTCATATATATTACAAATGAACGATATTTATAATTTATTAATTGCTATATTAATTGTTCGTACAAACTTTTTTATTTTTACAATTAAATAGAACTAATACTAAAATTGTATCATACGATTAATAACTATTATTAACAATAATGTATTTCACATATGAAATTCTATCCCTTATTCTCTTCCTCTTCCTAACTTATAATTATTAAATGTTATTACATTTATGAGAACTTTTTGTTCATTGAAAACAATTCTTATTTAAAATCCATATCAAAGAATAACAAATTCTAATATAAATAAACAATACTAAAAATAAATTTAAACCTAAAAATTGACCGTTATTGAACAATACATTTTTGTCTATATTTAAATGTTGCATACATTTAAAAAAAAAATACAATCTCCCTTTAATAGTATAAAACATAGAACGTTCTAAATAAATATATATACAAGTTGAAAAACAAATCAATAATATATTTAAACAATTTTTTAACTAATATTTATTTAGTGACAACTAACCTTTAACATCGACGCCATCACAAAATTTTGACATATCCTATGTTTAGTCTGAGTACGCCAATGAACTCGTGCAGTGTTGCAAACTGATTAAATTAAAAAACTCCTATTCTGTGTTAGTGAAATGAACGTAGAAAGTTTTAATTGGAGCTAATGTGAAAAGGAAAAATAAAAATCGATCAATAGCAACGAAGTTAATATCTTGTAAAGTGTTCTTATTGGTCAATCAATATTAACACGATAAAATTTACGCCAATTTGTGCTCACAAAGAGCAAATCGAGCACACCTAATCTTTAGTGAACATAAACGAATAGTATTATCGTCTCTATGTATGATATATCTATTGGTAGATCTATTTCATGCCGTGTCGTATTGAACATCTTGGGAGCATATAATTTAATTGGTAACTAGAATTCTTTAACAAAAAGCAAAATGTTTGCTATCCGAAAGACAATTGGAAATGCACGATTGGCAAAACAGATGATTGTACAACAACGAAGAACCGTTGTCGATTTACCTCCTTCCGTCAAAGTAACATTTATCGTAAGTTTTCTTTTTATTTCTATGACATTATGTAATTTCTTCATTGTCCTTTAAAATATTATTCTTTAAATATTCTTAGATAATATTATTGAATTTTTCTAATTAATATTTTTTTGGTCAATTTAATTTTAAACAAAAGCATTAAAAAGATAGAAGATGATAATCTATGTAAATTTTATACATACATTTCATCGTTTAAGTCAAAGTTTAAGTGTCTAATAGATTTTTATAGATTGTATATTATTGCATTAATAAATTTTGTTATTGTTACAACAATTATTTCTATGATATTATTTTTCTTCTTTTTCAGGAAAAATTAATTGGTGGAATAGCAATTACTGTGTCTATGCTAGCAATACCTACATATATTTCATGTAACATAAAGAATTATAGGAAGAGTTAAGATGAAAATGTAATTACATCTATAGTTACAAAGTATCGGCTATAACAATGCTGTTACTTAGGATTATTGTAAGATAATGTATTTAAAAATTTAAGAACCAATAAGATCTATATTCAAAAGATATAGTCCATATTTAAAAAAAAAAAAAAAAAAAAAGAAAAAAAGAAGTTTTAACTTAATTTAATCCTTTAATCGATTTTAAAATCTTAATAAAAAAAATATTTAATTTTTATGTCATTCTTTTTATTTAGTTTTTTTATTGAAATTTCAAGAGAATCATAAAAGATATTGTCAGTTATTATATTCAGAAGGAAATAAGTAACGTACCAATGAGTTGCGATACATAAATTTGTTACATAAATAAATACGATAACAATTTTGATATCGTTTATTATGATATCGCAGAGATATGATGATGATGATTATCACGTAAAGCATAATTTGAAAATAGATGTCAATTTTTTTTTTCTTTTTTTTTTTTTTTTTTTTTTTTATTATTTGTTTTTGCTTAAAACGATTAAGCGTTACAAAATTTTTCAAATGATATTATAAATGCGAATAAATAGGATCGATCGATAAGATTCGTAGATTCGATGATATTTATTTAGGATCATTAAACAATTAAAATTGATCTTTATGACGTCGATTGTTTCCATTTATTTAGATAGAAGCTGGGATATGGTGAAGAATAATAATTAAAAAAAGAGAAAACAAGAAAAAAAAAAAAGAAAATAATAAGGCTAACGATGTCGTTTTGTCTGAGATTATCAAAATATTATCAGGGACGTAAATTATTTTTCAAAAATGTTTCTGTTATGACGAATATGTTGTTTACGTCTTTTCAAACAAGTGGCACAACATTTTTCTCGTACGATCGAGGAAACGTCGCATATCCGTCTATAAGTTGCACACATCGACGAAGGTATTATAATGTCCTTGCAATCTAAAAATAAAAGAAATTATTAATATCATCGACATAGTAGATCATTTTTGATCGAATCAAAATGAAATAAATATAATAATTACCATCCTTCTCGTTGGTACAATGTTTTCTGTAATAACATCGTCTATTACCAATTGGTTTTCTTTCGTAATTACAATCGTTGGATAATAAGTTTGTTGTTCGGTCACGACACTCGACTTTTCTATTTCTTACGCCATATTTTACGAGACAAGTTGCATTGCAGGTTCCCCAAATCCCTAAAAAAAAAAGTAAAAAAAAAAAGAAAAAAAAAACAAACGTTAAAACGTTATCAAAGAGATTTGCAATATTAATGATTACTAATTATAGTACGTTATGTTATCACGATTATTAAAATTACTTTTCGTCACGAAGACATAAATTTGGTCTTTCGGTTTGAGATTAAAGGGATAAGAGCTAATTATAGTAGTATTAGTAGTCATATACATGTATTTAATAACAGGAAATATTTAACATTTTTTTTACTATCATGATGTTTTTTTCTCAATTACTAATTCAATCATTTATAATCGAGAGGATTTTTTTCTCTCTCTCTCTCTCTCTCTCTCTCTCTATTTTTATTTTTTTATTTTCAAGCGAATGCAGAAGACCATCATCATAGTGTTACGTACGATTAGCACCTTACCGACGATCCACTTTCCTTCATAACAATCCTCCACGCTGATAGGTTTGTCATCCAAATTACAATCTCCTGGATTAGAACAAGTGACCTTTCTACTTCTTTTTCCGTAAGAACAATGACTCCATCTCGAAAGAATCCATTTGGACTTTGTATTGTACATGGAATTGTTTGGATTTTCATCGAAGACATTATCGAATTCAAGGATCTCTGGTTCCGCAGTGGTCAGGCCATCGATCAATGTGATACCATCGTGATCGTTTGAACTGACATTGTAAAAGGACGCATCTTTGTTTTCCGTATAGACTATCAAAGGTATTTCCGAGGATAATCCGCATGGTGGTAAATTTTGACAAGGACCTACTTCTTCGGGTCTAGCGTCCTTGTCGCAATCTTTATCCGGTAAAGCTAAATCGGATCGATCCGTTCCTGTACCCGATGAAACGCACATCACCGATCTTTTACGTAAAGCATCTTCGCCGCATGTTACAGGACACATTTGCCATGGTCCAACCCACCATCTACGAAATGGATGTTATATAAGAATATTTTTAATCGGTGATTTAGTGTTATGAAATATTTTCTTTTACAATTGTTCCTTATATGTATAATTTATTTAACACTTTGACGGATGGAATTTGATCGATGCACTTTTCATCAGATAAAAGATTTACACTTGTTGCTAGCAATTATTAAAATTTTTTTGCAAAAACTTTCTCACGAAAATTTATAGCCGGTAATATTTATTGTTATAGTAAGGAGAGATAAGAATCGTAATTATTTCAGTTATAAAATAATCTATACTCATCTTTCTCTAGCTTTTATTTTATTTTTTATTTTTCTTTTTTTTTTGTTCCCTTTTTTTTTTTTATTTTTATTCCCATTATAATTATCAAAGCCAAAATTTTTTTTACTCCGTCGATTACGTTTTATTTTTATTTTTGTTTTTTTGGTATCCACTTTTTATTTTTGTTTGCTTCGGTATCGTTTTCTTTTTGTTGCTTATCATAACGATTCGTTTCAAATAAATTCATTAAACCATTGCCGAGTAATCTTGATTCATATAGAATCTAAGTATATTTTTATCCACAAAGTTTAAATGTATTACAATCGTTAAGTACAGTATTGATTCTTTCATAAAGATATATTGAGAACATTGTCTTGACATGACCATTACAATTTGCTTTTTATTGAAACTATTTTTGTCTTTATCGGAATCATCTATTAGGTTGGAAACTATGAAACGGGCGTTGAATGAAAATAAATGACTAAACAAAAACGCCCGTTTCATAGTTTCCAACCTAATATTACTGAAGCTCAATAGATTTTAATAATTTATCGCTACAATTTCATTTTCGCCGTTTAAATCTTATAGTGATCAGATATCGATGTTATCTGATATCTAGTTACTAATGTCTGATAGATTTTCAGTTTTTACTTTATCGTTATCATAAAACATTATTAACGGTATTTATTTCACGATTTCTAAATAAAGTCCTTAGGATTGTGAGAAATAGTAGAACAGGTTGTGAAAAATTTTAATTGAAATTTAAACCTAATAATCGGATAAAGGTAATATCAGGCCGTGTTACCAGACAATAACTGCTGCTTAAGTGAAGTCACATCAATATGATATAAGCCGATAATTTCTGGTTAATATAATTCACGTATACTTAGCTGACTCCAGCCGTCAAAGTGTTAACAGTCTAAGCCATAGGTGGGCAACTACTTTTCCGCTGCGGGCCGTACAACTCTCATCATCGATCAATTCGTTTCTTAATTACTTAAGTATACTAGTCATCATTCTATTGCTTCATATTTAAAAAAAAAAAATACGCAGCTCACGGCAAGATACGATGGTCTCAAATATTGGTATTCGTTTTTTCTCATAAAGAGCTACATACGACCCGTGGTGGGCCGCTTATTGTCCACCTATGCTCTAAATTATTCATACAAACCTGGCAGGGCAAGGGTTTGAATTACATTTCCGTAATTTAGTTTCTGGCTTAATCGTGACGTTGCAAAAGTGCTCTTCCACGACACCACTCTTTTTTTCCTGGCAAAGAGCTCGAGATGTTTGTGTACCACCACCGCAGGTTACCGTGCATAATGACCAATCGGAAAATATCCAAACGTATTCTGGGGCACGATCAGGTTCCTTCTTTGGTACTGTGTACTCGTAACGCAGACCAAAGTTTCGATAGTGTCCTCTATAAATTAACTGAAACGATGCGATTTTATTAGATGTTTCACGATCATTTCTTTTTTTTCTTTTCGTTTTATTTATTTTTTTTTCTTTTTTTTTTTTTCACGAAAAAGAATAGCTCAGACGTAAAGATAAATAGTGAATAAACAGGTTATTTCAAGGATTATCGCTACTCACGTAGACCGCAATGTCTTCTTTGATAGGGCCAGGTATTCTGATCTTTTCTCTATCTCGATCACGTTCATAGAGGGCCGGAGTTCCGGCGACTTCGTATTCTCCTGCCAGAGTGATCTGCCTGTCCAATTAGTATCCTGGCGTTAGA